ACAAGTCGGAAGTTCCATGGTGCCACGCCTAGGGCTGCCCGGGGGAAAGCACCCACTCTGTTCCAACTACACCTCTGACCTTGGACAAAGACTTGACCTCTTCAAGTCTTTGGATGCTTCCTTAGGGAAAGAGGGGTGAGTCCAGTTGTCTTCAGTGTGGCCAACTGGGTATGGTGGCATATGTCAAAGGACTTGGGGCCTCCAACTCAAGGGAACATGAATGACCCTGTTGCTCTCCTTCCTTCTCCTGCCAGCCCTGGGGGAATCTCTCTCCTTGCCTCTGCTTCTGGTGGGACAGGTCTAGCTTTTAACAAGTGGAGAGGAAAGGAAGGGCTTCATCTCATTTTCATTCTCAGATAGGGCCTCACTCTGTGGACCAGGCTGGCCTAGAACTCACAGAGACTGCTTGTCTCTGTCCCCCGAGTGCTGGGATTAAAGATGTGCATATACCACCAAGCCTGGTGAGAAAGGATGTTTAACAATGCAATTGCCCATGGCGAGCTTGTGAGCTTTAAGGGGGAAATATGAGAGAACACATGTGTGCTTAGCATGAATGAGCCCTGGCTTCTAAGTCAGTACCCCACCATGATTAAGTCTGTCTGTCTCCCACTCTCCTCCAGCACGTGCTCTCCCACTGAGCGACACTCCCAGACCACACATAATTTCTGAGTCACAATCACTGCTCATCTCACAGACCTGGCGTATGTACAACATAATAAATAAGCAGCAGCCACGGACCATACACAGGAGGCCTGCAACACCTTCTAAAGGGAATTCAGTTGCTCAACGTGACCCTGTTTAACACTAGATCTGGCTCTGAAGCAAACCACTTAATCTCCAGGCTAGAACACACCTACCGTGGACAAGCATGAAGTCACAGTAAGCTCCTGAACACACGTACCGTGGACAAGCATGGAGGCACAGTAAGCTACTGAACACGCCTACCGTGGACAAGCATGAAGGCACAGTAAGCTCCTGAACACACGTACTGTGGACAAGCATGGAGGCACAGTAACCTACTAAACACACCTACCGTGGACAAGCATAAAGACAGACAGTAACATACTGAACAGCAGGCACTTGAATCACCAAAGCCCATGAACAGGATTCATTCTCCCTCAGGAGGAGAGCAAGTGGTCACCTCTGTTCTCAGAGAAAATATGGCGAGCGCCTCATGTTGGCTGCAGAGACCTGACATGACACACTTCAGAGCACCCAAGGGAAAGGGAAAGGTGTTTTAAGTTCTCCACTAACAGTTGAGCGATACCAGATTTCTTCTCTCTCTCTCTCTCTCTCTCTCTCTCTCTCTCTCTCTCTCTCTCTCTCTCTCTCTCTCTCTCTCTCACACACACACACACACACACACACACACAGAATAAGTGACACATACTTTTCTCATTGTTTTTTAAAAGAGGGAACTAGGGTCTCATTAAGTAGCCCAGACTGGCCTTGAACTCGATCTCTTTCTGGGTGTTTCCAATGTCGGGGAGTCATAGGTGTATACTACCACACCTAGCTAAAACATCCACTTCTCAATCCAAATCCTCATGTGGCAGTGGCTGTGGTGATGCCACTCATTCACTCATTCAACTGTGTTGACTGAGTGCGTGGTCACGTGGGCTGGGCATATTGGTTGACAGAGAGCACAGGTGAAAGAAACTGGGGTCAGCAAATATCTTAATAAGATGGCAGGTAATGGAAAGAAGTATGCAATATTTATGTGTGCACATGTGTGTGTGATATGTACATGTGAGTGTGCACATGTGTATGGAGGTCAGAGGTCAATATTTAGGTGTCATTCTCAATGTTATTCCACCTTATTTTGGGAGGATGAACTCATTAATTCAGCTAGGCTGACCGGCCAATGAGCTCCAGGGATCTGCCCCCCCACCTGCCATGCCCCCGCCCCTACTTTGTGCCTGCCCTGCCCCACCCCACAGTTACAGGTGGCTATTCACATGGGTGTTGGGAATCGGAACCTCATTGAGCCATCTCCCCAGCCTCAGGATCTGCAGTGTATTGATAACGCATTCTCTGCTGCACTGTCCTGAGGAGACATTTTCAAAGACTTAGCATTGGGCTCCCAAGAGGAGCCACAGAAGTGTTCCCTGCCGAGGCAGTAACATCTTTCTTCTTATGACCACACTCATTCAGATGTCACATGGTGAGTTCAACAGTTAGACGGTGCTTCAAAAATTCCAAACACAGATTCCCCCCCCCCCCGCCCCCTCACCTCTTTTTCTTCTCCATCTGATAAGGCCAAGTGAGAGAACCTGTACTACAGGGATGGAACAACCGTTTCTCTTCCATGCTTTTCTGGTGACCTCAAACTAAATTTTCTTCTTATGCTGTCTCCCTAGTGTGTGGTCTGTTACAAACCCGCTTGTGCAGCCAGACCATTTCTTGCCACCAAGACTTCCTTTCATAGGCACGAATGAGCCATCCTGGTAGACACCCATGACCTTGATGCTCTCTACTACGTCTACTACGTCTACTACGGAAGCTGCCAGTGAACCGGAACACCACAACATCTGAAGAAGTGATATCAAATATCGAAATGAGCCAAAATGGCTCTCATGGGTCAGAACGCAAAAACACTGGGCCTTCCGCCCACTGGCAGTGAGACTCAAGAAAAGTCCATCTCAAAGGGCCAAGTACTCAGAGAGACAATCCTGAAGAATGATATAAACTGTCTTCCTCTAGGCGACAGACCAGCTCAAGCCACACTTCCTCACAGAAGGTAAGAGAAAGGCAGACGCTATGACGTTCTCTTCCTTTTCCTAGGTCTACATGAAGCCAGTAAAGGCTACCCATGGGGGCTCTAATGAAGAAGCTGTGTTCTAAAGCTCCACCAAGGGCTTGCTTTTCCTTTGTTCCACATGCAATAGAGCAACAGCATGTGGAACCCGGACGCAACAGAGAGAGCTATACTGAGAGGATGCGGTGTCCAGCAAGGGCCTCCTTTGGGTTTCTGTGGGAAAGGTGGGTCCGTAAGACCCATCTGAGAAGTGGCAAGTGTTGGCGATAGTTTACGAGTCAGGTGAAAAATGTTCTTGTCATTTATTGAGTTCGTAACGGAAAAGTGAGTCTGTGCGTTCCTGTGCTCTTTGCTGATCACCTCCAGATATCTCTGTGACTCGGCAGCTTCTCTACCAGGAGGGAAACCATGGAGAAAGGGCACAACCCAAATCAGCCAATGAACAAACGGTTGGCACATCAACCATCAATCTAGGATTGCCATCAGCTGTCAGTCTGGCCGGGGACTTGACTGGTGACAGGATGTCCGCCGTCCCATTACCCTGCCCTTCATTAAAGGCTGTCTACACCACCCTAGGCCTTTCAACTGAACGGGATCCATAAAAACCAGAACAGAACAAAATGAAACAGGACGTGTGATCCCTTTTCTAAGATCACACACTTCTTTCCAATACTCTAGTGGCATGGCTTGGGCAGCCCTTGGGTTGAGTGTCTGAGACCATTTGGTGGGGAGCGGGATTGAAGAACTTGATGATAGTTAGATGGCTGCAAATGGGACACGGACGCAACCATCCATGCCAGACCCCACCTGCCCTTCATTCATTTATTTTTCTTCCTCAAAATTTACCAGAGTCTCAGAAGAACTTCCAAGGATACCATTGTGACTCTGAGAGCGCCCCATCTGGAGAGCCTGCGCACTGTTCTCTGTGTCCTAGAAGACCAGCCGCCGCCCCACCCAAACCCAGGCTTCTGGGTCTCTCAGTAGGTATTGGAGTAGAGACCTCTTGACGAATCAGAAGTCCACCAGAGGGATGGACTCCAGCGGTTCCCTGCACGGGGTGTGGGTTGGGTTACTCTGAAGCCTGTAGGCTTCAGGGAGGCTTCCTAGGGCTCTGCCCACAGCTGAAGTGGCCTGGCAGGGAAGCCGCTTCTATTAGCCACTGAGAAGGCAGCTGTGATGGCTGAAGCCCATGCTGAGCGGCCCTGGAGAGAGTTTTCCGAGGCTGGCAGGAGACTCTACCGGCATGGCTGTAGTAATGAAGGGCGGGAGGAGAGAGTCATGAATATATGATGTGGGAAGGAGGGCGTGGTTTGAGGGAAAGCAGAGATCTGTCCCACAATGGGGGAACCGCTGGGGCGAGGGTCCGCCTCCCTGCAGCGCCTGCCCCTGCTGCTTGGGCTCCTCCGGAGCAGGTGGGGGCTGAAGGGACGAGCCCATAGCAGCCTGTGGTGAGCAGTCACAGGTTTCTTGTAAGACACTGTGGCACGGAGGCCACTACTGACAGCCCCACCATGTTCTATCGAATTCACAGGCAGGTTTCCGAGATGCTTACCAAGCACCAGCAGCCACAGAGTGGACATTTTGAGATCTCCTATCAGATGAAAAATTGCCCATTAAAGAGGTTACAAGAAACTTCAACATAAAAGAACTTGGGAGTGGGATTCTTCATGAACAGACTATGTTAAACTGTGATTTTTTTTTCTGACACGGAATAGGCATGAGCAATAGACTGCTGCTTTCACCTCCATTTTCCTTCTATTTGCTCTCTCAAAGACTATAATTCTTCTCAATTTCAAACATCGCTGGAGCCTTTAAAAACAGACTTGATGGGGTGGGGGGATAAAAGTAGAAATCAGGTTTGAAAAATAGGACAAGAAAAAATGATTATTTCTGGGTCGGCCTTGGATGATGTCATCATGGGTTCTGGATGTAACGGCCAAGCAGTGTACAGTAACTCTTCCCGCTCATGTGACCTCTAACATCCATTTGGGCAAAACAACTAATATTTCAATAATTTTCCTGCCTGAGAAGTGAGATTCAGGTGGCAAAGCAGAGAGGTCCAAATGCTAAGGATGAAATGGAGGGGGATGTGCATGCGTGTGTGTGTGTGTGTGTGTGTGTGTGTGTGTGTGTGTGTGTGTGTGTATGTGACAGCGCGCACGCGCACGCGTGGGGGGCCAAGGGGAGGAGGCATGAAAACTAAGTCTTCCTGCGCACACCCCTTTTGCTACTACAAGGGCACCCGGCAATCACATTCGCGGTAGTAGAAAAGCTGAGGAATCCGACAGCCCCTCAGCTCCCACAGCTGCTGCCAGCCCCCGCTACAAAGGCCTCCTTGCTTTATGGCTCTCAGGAAATTCTTCAGGGGTTAAATGGGGGAAGCTCGGCCACTACCACCATTGCAATAAATAAATGAATGAATCAGAACGAACCAGTGGACTATCCTTGGGAAGCAAGTGTTTGATTTTTCTACAATTACAGATGGTGGCCGGCAACTATATATATATATATATATAATTTTAAATCGTGTTTTACCTTTTGACGTGTGTGTGTCTCATAGACACACATGCACCTATATAAAAAGAAGCATAGTGCCCTGCACACATCCATACCTTGAAAAAATATTTTTAGCATTATTTATTTTGATTAAAACAGAGATCGCTTAAAAAAATTGTTCATGCCAGCAACTCATTCCAAAGCCTTATATTTTGCATATACAGCATACACACAGACAGAGAGACACACACACACAGACACACATACACACACACACACAAAGGTTTTTTTTTAATGCAATAGACAATGCTAAACATCTGAGATCAGGTTGCTATGCCAACAGATTTTTTCCCCCCTAAAATGAATAAAATTATTTGGAGGGAGACAACATCTCTGGCTGCTTTTCCTCCCATCCATGAAGCTGAGGGAGGCTCAGGGAGGGCCAGAGGCTGCCAGACAGGGAGGAGGGGAGAGCAGTATCGGCTTACCAAAGACGCGGATTTGATCGTGGCAAAGCGCTCTCGGTTCCGATAGTGGAGGGCCCGGCTCTGAACTGACTGGGTAGGCCGCGGCTCAGGCCTGGGATCGCCGTGGCCCGCCTCATCCCTTACGAATACATGATCCTGCAGAAATGGATGAAGAGAAGGAGAAAGTCCAGCTGCGCTCTTTCCTCGCCGGCTGCCTCTCTCTCACCCCTCTTTCTGAACAAGCACCGCTGTTTGAAATGCATAGTTCAGCTCTCTGCTAGTCCCCGCAGCTCCCACGGTATAAAATGAATAAGCAACACATTGCAGCCTTCGGTTAGGAATGTCAGCTGATCGCTCGTGGGATGCCTTCTGACTCCCTGGCAGGCTTTTTCCCCCCTTTACCTCCGGAATTACATATATGCAAAAGCGAAAAGGAAGAGGAGAGAGAATGGCGCGGACGGACGCTTCAGCACAGTCTGCTTAAAACGCGGTGACCAGATAATTCCTTTAAAAATGTCATGTCCATGTCTGGCGGGGAGGATGCTGGTGGCTTTTAACATAAAAGCGAGCCTCTGCCTCATTCCCCTGAAAGAGCTGCGTTGTCAATTGAATTGGATCTGTGAGCTGGTCGGTGGGGTCATCCTTCTTCTGGGGGTGGGGGCGATCAGGGGAGGCTTGTGGCGAGCTGCCTCTCTGTCTTGTGCTGGGAAGATTCGGCAGTCACTGAGGGATCCTGCTTTCCAGTCATGATCGTACACAGTTCTAGCACCTTCTCTCTACAGCTTCTGAAAGGATTTTTTTCTTTCTTTTTTTTTTTTTTAGATTTAAAGAGACAGGCATACAATTCCAAACCAAATGATACTTTCACAAATGGTCCCTCAACTGGCATGCCAGCAGACTGAGCGAGGCTGGGATTTAATGTCCTTGACTGATTTAATCGAGTTCTGTGCTTTCTTGATGGCCAAAGATGATTAATCTCATTTTAACGCCCGTGGAAAAAAAAATAACATGCCCTGGATGGATAATAATGGATGTTCCTTAAATGCAACTGAAATGATTTGGAAAGGGAAAATGTTTTCAGAGGACCGTGGCCCGCCCTCTGTACAAGATGAGCTGGTCAGTCAGTCAGCAACCTTTAGAAAATTTACCCCCCCCCCCATAGTACTCTGGCAATCTGTAGTTCAAAATCATGTTCAATGGTGGGGGGGCTTTTAAATAGCACATGCTCAGATGGGGGAGGAGAAATCAATTTCTTATTCCCCAGCGTTTTAGGAGAAACCACTGGTTTGCATTTTCTCCAGGAGTACCTCAAAATTTTAAAAACCATGTAATTGCCCTTCCCTTCATTACAAAGCAAGATCCAAAGAGACTCAGAAAATACAAACCTTTATCTCTGAAATTTTCAAAAAAATCAAAATGTGTAGATTTTTTTTTTGAGGGACATGAAATGTTATAACCAGGTTTTGATGTAAAAAGCCACAACAATAAATAAATGAAAAAACAATGTGTTTCTTAAGTGGGGTAAGTTGTGTACACCTACAATTGCCACCCAACACACACACACACACACACACACACCCGCACTCCAACACACTAGGAAAGTAGGAGAAATTGCAAGTTTGAGGTCACTGTGGGTAGTGTAGTGAGAGCCCCGACCTCTCCTGAAATATTAAAAAAAAACCCTTTAACATGGATATTTTAAAACTTATGTAAAAAATGCTTGAAGGATCATTTTAAATGATTTCGCATTACTTCCTGGGAAGTCTGAACCTCGTATGGCACAGAGACATGTGACTGGGACCCTGCAGTGGGCCTCAGGCTCCTTATCTTCATGTATGTACTAATGAAACCACACCGTATCGAAAATTGAACTTACTTAACACAACAGCTTCAGAGAAGCATGGAACTTTCTGATGCCAGCATCATGAGAGACACAAAGTCTGGGGCTCTGAGCCCTGGTTTTGGTGACAATTAAGAAGTTCCACTGAGAGAGAACCTGGGGTAAAGGGTGGAAGCAGTGACATTCAAGTGGTGGTGACTTCAGGCGCAAAGACAGCCAGTGGCACCAGAAGCCACAGTGCTCACATCACAAAACAAAACAAGAACCATTCACATATGTCTAGATGTAATAAAACTAGATCCCAGGGTGTGGTGATGTGTTGTGCCTATAATCCCAGCATTCAGGAAGTTACGGAGACAGGGTAGTTTGGGGCCAGCCTGAGCTACATTAGTAAGCCTCTAACTCAACAAAACAAAACAAAACAAAACAAACAAACAAAAAATTATAAATAAAAAATCCGCAACCAAACAAGCAAAATATTTTAGGTTTAGGACCCTGATTATCAAATTAAAAGTCACAGATTTTTTTATGTGTGTGCTAAATGTATGGAAATTGGAATACGTTCTGAAAGCTAAAATCTGACATCACTTTTTATTGTTATTGACACGTTAAATAACCCACCAATGTGTGTGCTAGAAATGCTGTACACAGTGTGAAACCTGTCTTAGAGAAAGAGAAAAAAAAGCTAGGATGTCACTTTAGTTCAAAGACTTTAAATACAAATTCTTTTATCTAAAACATATGTGAACCTTTGCTTTATCCTTGCCACCTTTTAAGAATTACATTTGTTTATTTACGTGTGTGTGTGTACGTGCTATGGCACGTGTGTAAGGTCAGAGGGCAACTTCAGGAGTCAGTTCTCGCCTTCCAAACTGTGGGCCCCGGGGATTGAACTCAGGTCGTCAGGCTCGGCAGCCAGTGCTCTTACACACTGGCCCCACTGTTTGGAAGAGAAGTCTCAGATTTGCTGGGCAGCTTGGCGCTAGGTCACCCTCTCTGATCTAGTGTGAGAGCGGCCACACGTCAGGGCCATGAGCCATCCTAACAAGCCACGCCCACTTCCGGAGCAGCAGGGAAGGAAGTCTGCACAGGACACGCCCATTTCCTGCACAGCCGGGAAGGACGTCTGTTTGTTTATATTTTATTTATTTACTTATTTTGAGACAAGGTCTTGCTATGACTGGCCTGGAACTCAGAGATCCATCTGCCTCTGCTGAGTCCTGGGACTAAAGGGGTGGCCACTATATCTGGCTTTCTTGTATTTTGTCTTTTTGGGCAACCATTCGCTTTAACACTGAATGACATTCCCAGGCCCAAGGAAAAAATGTGTAAACATTCGATCTCACTGGATTAAAAAAGGGTGAAGTTCCCCAATCCAATTAATGAGCTATTTAAAAATAAGGAGAATGTGTCTTGGGACCTGAAGCCCAAACACAGTGGTGCATCACCTTCGCTGTGCCTTCAAGTCTCTGGCCCGCAGGGTTTACCTGCTGTATGTGGTGCTCAGTTTCTGAGTTGGACACGATTTCGGAGTAGCCACTGAAGGGTCAGTTACGCAGTAGCAGTGAGAGCCGGCTAGCGCCCATGAGTGGCTGAGGGCTGCCGTCTCTGAGGACTGTTTCTGTGAGACGAAGGGCAAACACCACACTGCGCTCTACCAAGACCAAATATGTGTCTTGGTGGGGATTTACCTTTAAAATGTCATTGTCGGGGCTGGAGAGGCAGGCTCAGTGGGGAGTGGTACTCGCCTCCCAAGTGTCAAAACTTGTGCTTAACAGACACTGTGGCACACACACACACACACATGTGCAAGTACACTAAATAAATAAAAAGTAATGGGATATTATCATTCAGCAACACATGAAATAGTGCCTTGAAATTTCTTTGGGATTAGGGGCCCATTTTAAGTCCATGTATTTTAATCTGGCAAATCCACACGTGTGCTCACTGGAGAACACAACAGAAATATTTCCTCAGATTAAAAAAAACTGATGTTGACCTGTGGGCAGAATTCCAGCTACTGCCTGCGCAGTACCCTCTTACAGTCTATGCGATAAATTTGCTTTTCCTTAAATTGTATGGTTTATTAAATTTTTTGCTTTGTAGCTCAGACTGGCTTGAATCTGCAATCTTCCTGCCTCAGCATCCTGAGTACTAAAATTACAGGCAGGTAAAAATTACACCACTGCCTTTTTTTAAAAAAAGAATTACATTTTTATATAAAAGAGTGAAATATATCACACAAGAGGAACACTTATGTCCTGGAATTACCGTGTGTGTGTGCGCATGTGTGTGTGTGTGCATGTGTGTATGCGTGTGTGTGCATGTGTGTGTGTGCATGTTGCATGCCAGCACGTGTGGAAGCCAGAGGTCAACAGTGGTGTCTTTCTCTATTGTCCAACCGTGGTTTTTAAGGCAGGGTCTCTCGCTGACCTAGGCATTCAGATGGGCCAGCCAGCAAACCCTGGGTTTTTCCTGTCTCTGCCATTCCCCCTTCCAAGATTACACGTATGTGCTGGCAATGGATCCTGGGGATCTGTGCGTGCAGGTAAGCACTCCATCAATGGAACTACATCTGCATTCCTAAGACACTGCTTTTATTTAGACGGAAGCTTTGCCCAGGACAGAACTGCCTCATGGCCACATGTCTAGGATATGTCTGAGGAGGTTATGAGAAAATGACGTTTTCTCTTGGGTTATTTAACAGAATTCATATTTGTAATTCATTGAAGTCTGCTACTCTGTTGTGCCAGAAGCTCTACATGGTGACCCAGGTGACACAACCCATGGGTGTGACCCAAAGCAGCTTTTCTCTGACCAGGCCTCTATAGGTACCCTCGCTGACCTGTCTGTGGACGAGGGGCCAGCAAGCTCACCGTGCCTCATCTGCTCCCTTCAAAATACCACGCTTGCTCTGTTGAGACGCCGGTCTCTCTGTGTAGCCCGCACTTGCCTGGAACTCAGTATGTAAAGCAAGCTGGCTTCAGACTCACAGAGATCCCCAGTGCTGGGATTAAAGGTGCGCGCGTGCCACCAGGCCTGGTTTCTGAGGCTGCTAGATGGAGCTGGAAGGGAAAGGTGGATCTGAACCAGAAAGCTAGGGAGGGAAGATGGCAAGGAGCAGGCTGAGGACAAAGCCATGACTGCAGGACACTCTTGCAGCGTCATTCCTTCCTTTCCTCTCTGCTGCATGTGAGAGGAAGCAGCGGCAATGCGGGCCCTCTGCACCGCAGAACAGCCGGGCTAAGGAGCAAAGGGCACTGAGGACACCCTAGCCTCTCAAAACATTGGGGAAAGCTGTTCTCTGGTTTTCAAAGAGGGCAACAGGGTTGGTGGGATGGCTCGGCAGGTAAAGGCACTTGCTGCTGGGCCTGATGACCCGAGTTCTGTCCCTGGGACCCACATGGCGGAAGGGGAGAACTGACGGAAACCTGTCCTTTGACCTCCACATATGTGCTCTGGTGCGCAACGCACGTGTGCACATGCACACACAGACACAGACACATATAGTAAATGTCACAGGAATGAGTTCACACCCATGGCTTGTACATAGGTTCTACATGGGACACAAAAGACCAGAACATATTAGTGACACGTAAGAGTAAAAATGCCATAACCAAATCCATTACTTTGCACAGGAAAAGGAGCCCAGAGAATATATACTAAAGCAGGGTATACTAAAGAAGTGATCAATTACTAGAAGTGACACAAATATTCTCGTGGTCAGTAAACAACCTTTTAAATTTTGAGTTTTTCAATTGTTTTACCAACAATTAAAATGAATTAGAATTTATAGTTTTAACATTCCATTCTTGAGATTCATTTGCATGAATTTAAATACATGTGCATATGTAAATAATGAAACTATAATCAATGCATATTTAGGAATTTTTAAAACGTGAGTTTGACAGGATGGTCATCTTCCAAGATGACAGGCGGGTCACTTTTCGACCTCTGGCCAAGATCAAGTGCAGCACAGAACGGGAATCTGTCCTCCGCCTAGGGTCAGAGCACCGCACGTTCTGCTTGGTTGTAAGGATTTTCTTGTATTTGGTGTCAAGCATGTTACTGCTTCTTAGGGATTAGCAGACAAACTCTACTCAGGTAGCTTCTTCAAGCCTTAAAGGCGATACTGGAGATGTCTACTCCTTGAATTTGTGTTTCACACCCCTGACCGTAATGTCGTTGTGTGCCTGGCTCTGAACTTGTCACTTACTCCCCCACGTGGTCTGCATTTACAGACAGTCTACCTTGTCCCAGACAAGCGGGAAAATTTACGTTCCATTCATAGACGGTAGATAAGTTAATCTATTACACATATGTGCATGTTCTAAGGATTGACAGTTTTATTTATGTGTGTGTGGGAGGGTGTGCCTGCGCATGCCACATGTGTGCTGGTGTTGCCCTCAGAAGCCAGAAGAGGATCTTCCACTTTCCTTGGAGCTGGATTGATACATATATACATATAATATAATAAAATAATATATTATAATATATTATACATAATAATTTATGTTATAACACATAAATATGTTTTTTTCTGATGCTGGGGATTGTACCCAAGACCTTGCACATGCAAGGCAAGTGTACACTACTGAGCTGTATCCTAAGCGCTCTGTCTTATTCTCTTTAGATTTTGTTCATGTGTGTTTGCTTGTATGAGTTTCTGTGCACTATGTATGTGAAGGTGCGCTTAAAGTCCAGAAGAGGTGGTTGGATCCCCTGAAGCTGGAGTTATAGATGGTTGTGAGTTGTCATGTGGGTGCTGGGATCCAAACCCAGCAATCGGCGCTCTTAGCCAGTGAGCGCTCTGTTTGGTTTTGAGACGGGGTCTTCCTGTGCAGCCAGGCAGGACTTGATCCCATGACTGTGCCATGGCAGCCTCTCGGATGCAGGGATGGCAGAGGGATAAAAGGCTTCCACTAAACCTGGTGCATAATGTAATCTTACACACTGGCAGATACTATAAAGAAAACAATTAGGACAATGGGACAAGGCCTAGAACAGGCTTTCCTGAGACTGTGGACTCAACCTGGGCAAACGGGACTGTCACAGGAAATCACAGTCTGGATAGTCTTCCTCTTTGTGTGTCAGTGGGAGCGGAGCCCACTGTGAGTGAGTGCAGTTGGTGCGCGCCCCTCCCTGTCCACATTCGATGGCTCAGGCAGGAGCAAGCATCTAGACCTGGCTAATTTGCCCAGCTTGGATAGCTCTGAGGGGACAGAGCCATTGTTCCCTAGTTGAGTAAATCTTCCTGTTACCCAGAACAAATTTTGCAAGAACACTACACACAAATGGGTTAGATACTTAAAAAAAAAAAAACATGTGTGCATGAGCATGCGTGTGCACAAAAGGTTAAGAACACTTGCTGCTTTTGCAGAGGACCCTGATTCTGTTCCCATTATCCATAATGACCTGCGATTCCAGTTCCAGGAGGGTCAAGCATCTGGCTTCCATGTGTACTGCATGCATATGTTACATACATACATACATGCAGACAATACATGTGACACTCATATACATGAAATAAAATAAATAAAATCTTAAATGACAAGTGACCTTTCTCTATAATTTCCTACTGTGGAAGGCCGACCTCAAGTCAGAGCAATGACTCTGAAGTAAGCCTTCAACGGTTTTCATAAAAAGTTTTAACTTTATGGTAGGTTTGTATAAAATGAGCATTCTGCTGGCTAGGTTTTTGTCACCATGACAACTGACAAACCGCCCCCATCAGACTGGCCCATAGACAAGTCTGTGTGTTAGGGCTCTGCCCACCGTGGGCAGTGCCAGTCCTGGGCTGGTAGTCCTGGATGCTATAAGAAAGCAGGCTGAGCAAGTTATGGGGAGCAAGCCAGTAAGCAGCATCCTTCTGTGGTTCCCGCATCAGCTCTTGCCTCCAGGTTCAGCTCTTGAGTTCCTCCCCTGACTTGCGTCAGTGATGGGGTGTGATCTGAGAGCTCCCCAGGTTGCTGTGGGTCTTGGAGTTTATCACAGCAACAGAAAGGAACTAGGACAGACATCCTTAATCAGAACCATTCATTCGGAGGTCGAAATAGTCAGCAGGACAAGCTAGCTTGCCTGCCACCACGCCCCATGGGGGAAAGACAGAATCAGCTCCTGCATGCTTTCCTCTGATCCCCACGTGTTCTGATCATGCACATGTGTACCCTACCCACAAAACAAACAAACAAACAAACTCTGTAACTGTAGTTAGCTGGTCAAGAGCCTTAGGAGAAGAGAAAAAACAACAAATTCTGTTGCTGTTTTGTCTTCGGCTTTTCATTTTGAGACAAGGCAAGCTGTTGATCTTAGCACTCACTCCGTAGCCCTGACAAGCCTTGGACTTGCCATCGTCCAGTCTTAGCCTCTTGAGTCTACTGCCTGAGGTGTGGAGGTCACTGCTTTACAGGGGTCTTTTCCTCTGTAAGGGTGAGCTGCTTTCCTCCGGGAGGCGCCAGGGACAGCTTTGACCTGCCTTTTTTCCTCCCTTCCTCCTCCTCCTCCTCCTCCTCCTCCTCCTCCTCCTCCTCCTTCTCCCCTTCTTCTTTTTGTTTGTTTGTTTTTTTTTTTTTTCTTTCAAGGCAGGGTTTCTCTGTGTAGCTCTAGCTGTCCTGGAACTAGCTCTGTAGACCAGGCTGGCCTCGAACTCACAGAGATCCACCTGCCTCTGCCTCCTGAGTGCTGGGATTAAAGGCGTGTGCCACCACACTCAACTTTCTTTCTTTTTTCTTTTTCAAAAATTTATTTATTTATGGGTATAGGTGTTTTACCTGCATATGTATTGTGCATGTCTGGTGTCTGCGGCCAGAAGAAGGTGTCAGAACCACCTGGTTAAAGTTACAGATGGTTGTGAGCCACTGTGTTGGTGCTGGGAATTGAACCCAGGTCCTCTGGAAGAGTAGCCAGTACTTTTAACCTCTGACCAATCTCTCCAGTCCATTTTTTGTTTGTTTTTCTTTTCTTTTCTTTTTTTTCCCTTCCTTCCTTCCTTCCTTCCTTCCTTCCTTCCTTCCTTCCTTCCTTCCTTCCTTCCTTCCTTCCGACAGAATTTCGCTCTGTAGTCCAGGTTGGCCTACTACTTTCAATGTACCACAGGGCAGTCTTGAACTTCTGGCAATCCCCTGCCTCAGCCTTTCAGAGGCTAGGATTCTAGACACTGTGCTAATATGCTCAGTATATTAATATTAGTAATTTCTTTACCATTCTGCTGGATGGTGCCAGCTATCAGAGCAACGAGAGATGGTGAAACCGAGAGGTGCAGCCAACAGGGTCTTCTGCTAATCCATCAGAAGTCTTCTTCCTGTTCTTTTCATCCCCTGCTTTGGTTGCAAAGAGGAAACCCACCCTCCTGAAAGCAGCATGTCCTGACCTGGCTTTGCTGGGGCCACCCGACCCTGGCTTGTGAGGGCCCTGTGATACCTACCTTCTTGTGTACCATGGAGGAGCCGGAGTTGACAGTGCTGTCATCTTCCTGCATCATGACGAGCTCAGAGCTGCTCTCGTCCATGACCTCCTGCATGCTGTTCACACTGCTGCTCCGGCTGCCTGTGCTCACTGACACGCTGGGGATAGAGTGGATGCTGCCCAAGCTGTCCACCTCCCTGTTCAGGTTGCTTCCGTGTTCACTGTCCTGTAAAAATGGGCACTGGGATTCAAAACCAAAACACCTGGAGATCAAGTGCTGACCTACTGGCCGGGCCACTGTGCATTACATCTGCAGCAGCAAACTGCTCTTTTGTTGGTGTGCAAAGATCAAGTGTGTGTGTGTGTGTGTGTGTGTGTGTGTGTGTGTGTGTGTACACATGCATAGTAGACACAGGTCAACCCTGAGTGTTGATCACAAAGAACCTTGAATTTTGTGACGGTCTCTCTGGTTGGAGCTCACTAAGTAGGTTAGACTGGCTGGCCAATGAGCTCTAGGATCCTTCTGTTTTCTGCCTCCCTAGAGCTATTTGTAAACAGGCGCTAAGACTCCTGGCTTTTAAAAAAAAATATGGGTTCTGGGGATGGAACTGAGGTCCCTATGCCTCGCATGTCATCTTTTAAATGGAGGATCTTTGGGGACACTCTACCATGACCAGACATCTCACACTCACTTCCTGCCTCCCCAGGGCCACTCTGCTTATGGGTCTCAAGTCTCCAAATGCTACCATCCCAGGGCTTCCCCCATCACACATGACCACGACACTGTGGGATTGCTCCCAGTATGTGTCATGAGTCCAGGCGGGTTCTCTGGGAATGCCAAGTGGCGACACTGCGGACACCAAACTGATGATCCTGAACTGGCGTGCAGTGGAGAAGCTCTTTAGAGGGGACAGTGGTGTGCGTGCTCCCTGCAGGACCTTAGTGCATAACTGCATGAGGTGGGGGATAAACTCTACTGTCCGAGCTAGGTAATTAAATCCTGTCTCCCTTAAGCAACTCTGTCATGATTTCCTCGGTGATCTCATTAAGAATCTCTGTGAGATAATATTGGTACCTACTCCTGTCAAGGCCAGAGACTAACAGTGGACGGGGTGAAAGTGTGAAGTCAGCAGTTATGATCACACAAGAGGCTCCTCCCCAACAGGATTAAATTCACTAAGTCAATTTAGTTACAAAGAAGCCCTATTTTCAAACCCTACTGTACACAAACAGACAGTAAGTTGCTACGGAGACATGAGGATACAGGTGATCACTCAGTGATACAAAATGTAGACAATACAGCACCTTTTCATTTTTGTTTTGAAGACAGGCCTCAGTAAGTAGTCAGGGCTGGCCTGGAACTCGATCTTTAGACCAAGTTAGCCTTGAATGCACAGAAATCAGCCTGCTTCTGCCTCCCTAGTGTTGGGATTAAAGACTCCTGCTTCCACACCCTACTATTAATATGTCACATTTTAATGCATTCATTTTCTCAATTAGTGGGATACTAATTGTCTATACTGATCAAAAGATTTTTATAGTTCAATTTTTATTTTTGAATTTTTTATTGATAAAATAATTGTTTCATTGAAAGTTAAAAAATAACACTGACTTCCTCTCTTTCTCACTCTTTGGTTATTTTTCTAAGTTTATCGTGTGTGTGTGTATGTACATATGTGTGCACGTGTGTGTATGCGCATGCCACAGTACATGCACTACGGTGGCCTTGCGGGGGTCAGAGGATAATTTCAGGAGTTGTTCTCTCCTTATACCATGTGGGCCTGAGAGGTCTAACTCAGGCTGACAGCACAGACCTTTGTCAGCTGAACCATCTAACTGGCTCTCATCCAATTCTTTTAGCTAGTGAAAGCCCAGAAAGTCATCTTTCCTTTGAAAACTCATGTGTATATGGTGTCAAGAGACCCCTGAATAACCTCAACCCACCCTTATTCTCTCAAGCAGGCCCCAAATCCACAATCCTCCTGCCTCTGCCTTTAAGTGCTGGGGTGGTAGGCATGTACTGCCATGCCCAGCCATTCCCTGAAGCTCACACACTTTCAGGCCACACATATTCAAGTTGTTTAGTCCCCTTATGGTGTGGAATTCCCCTCTGTATGCGGTGAATACCATTGGTTAATAAAGAAACTGTCTTGGCCTGATGGGGTAGAGTAGAGCTAGGCGGGGAAAACTAAACTGAATGCTGGGAGAAAGAAGGCAGAGTCAGTGAGAAGACATGTAGCCCCTCAGGAGTCAGACACCAGAAGTTTACCTGGTAAGCCACAGCCTTGTGGTGATATACAGATTAACGGAGATGGGTTAACTTAATATGTAAGAGCTAGCCAATAAGAAGCTAGAGCTAATAGGACAAGTAGTGATTTAATTAATACAGTTTCTGTGTGGTTCTTTCTGATCTGAGCTGTTGGGCGGCAGGGAAACAAACAAGTGGCCTCCTTGTTATCCTTAAACCCCACTTCCATTACTTTCTCTTTCATTGAGAGCCACATGTTAGCAAGTCTACCTTTTCCTATTCCTAGGGACCCAACCCTCACCTCTAAACTCACGAGTGGACTGGTGGCTGCAACCAGGATGGTCCTCCCAAGCACAGAGCTTACCTGAGTCTAAAATGGACCAAGCTCTGGATAGAGGAGGGGCACAGCCTCACCACCAGCTGAGAGTTACTGACAGCGGAAGGCTGCTGGGGGAAAGAGTCAGTTTTATGATGTGACCCCTGGAAGGTTGATGAGCTCCAGTGGATCACCTTATACTGATGTATACATAGGCAGCATTAATTAGACGGAGTAGATCAAAAGGAAAAAAGAGAGAGCGATGTGAAATTGGGAATTTAGGGGTGTGTGGTGGTTTGAAAGAAAATGGCCCCCAAAGGGAGTGGCACTTTTAGGAAGTGTGGCCTTGTTGGAGTAGGTGTGGTCTCCCGGGAGGAAGTGTGTCACTAGGGGGTGGGCTTTGAGTCTTATATATGCTCAAGATACTGCCCAGTGTCTCAGTCTACTTCCTGTTGCCTGCATATCAAGATGCAGCAGTTCCTTCTCCAGCACCATGTCTGCATGCATGCCTCCATGCTCCCCACCATGATGTTAGTAGACTAAACCTCCGAAACTGTATATCACCTCCTCAATTTAATATTTTCCTTTATAAGAGTTGCTGTGGTCATGGTATCTCTTTACAGCAATAGAAATTCTAAGACAGAAGTTGGTACCAGAGACTAGGGTACTGCTATGATAGGCCTAACCATGTGTTTGTTTGGAGGAATTTGGATTTTGGTATTTTAGGCTAGGAAAGCAGTGATTAATGGGCCATACTAGTAGGAACATGAAAGATAATGGTGCTGAGAATGATTTGAACTGTGACTGTGACGATCAAGAGGTTTCAGAGAAGAATGTTAGTATGACCTAGAGACTGGTCTTATGATATTTTCTTAAGAATGTGGCTGCTTTTTGTCCTTGTATGAAGAGTCTGCCCGAGGCTAAAGTGAAGAGTTCTGAAATAATTCCGTTGGCAGAGGAAATCTCAAAACAACCTAGTGTAGACTCTGTCATGTGGTTATTAGTATTAACTCTGATGAAGATTTATAATGAAAAGGAGCAAGCTGAGCAAATAAAAATATAAAATGAGAAAAGGGGCACCAGGAATTAGAATTAGAGCTAAAATCCTGTGTTCAAGGAGATAAATGGATTAAGAAATGGAATAGAGGGAGTGGTGACCTCAGGGCAAGATCCCACCCAGCTAAATTTCCAACTTGTGAAAAGGAACTAAAGAAAAGCTTGGAGCCCGGTGTGGTGGTGCTGTCTCTGATCTCCTCACTGGGAAGGCAAGGCTGAAGCCTGCAGCTGAGTTTGAGGTCAGCTTGGTCCACAGAGCAAGTTCCTAAACAGCCAAGCTTAGGCAGTGCAGGAATCATGGAAAACCAGAAGCTGGTAAAGATCTAATTGATCAAGGGGACCATTTTCCAGCCCCTGTAAGCAGCAGAACTTGGCAGCTTTGGCCACACGGTTCTGGCTTCAAGGATAGAAGAAAGGGGTTATAAAATCTTCCTCCACAACTAAGGAACACTGATGAGACCAGGCATGTGTCAGTGTGTCCCTGAACGGAGGCCTAGAGAGGCCATTGAGTGAAGGTGAAGCCTGGATTGCCTTGGAGAACCCAAGATGTTGGAGATGCCAGAACCATGGGATACCTGCTGAGGAGAGCTGCTAATGGAGTGAAACCAGCCCAAGAGACAGAAGTGTGTTACAGTCCACAGACCTGGAAGGAGTTGGAGATCTGAGGAGTGTTTTGATATCAGACATAGAGACGCAGAGTTTGGAGCTTGCCCAGCTGGTTTTGGTCTTGCTTTGATCCTGTATTTTCTCACTATGTTCTCTTCCCTATGCTTTGAAGTGATAATGTATATCCTGTGCCATTATATGTAGGAAGTATGTTATCTGCTTTTTGATTTTGATTTTACAGGGGATTACAGTTAAGAGATCGCCATAAGTCTCAGAAGAGATTTTAAACTTTAGATTTTTTTAAATAAGTTTGAGAATGTTATAGACCATGGGGACTTTTGAAGCTGGACCAAATGCATTTTTGCATTAGTATATGGATACAAGTTTTTGGGGACCAGGGAGTGGAATGTGGTGTTTTAAAAGAAAATGGCTCCCAAAGGGAGTGGCACTATTAGGAGGTGTGCCTTGTTGGAGTAGGTATAGTCTTGTTGGAGGAAGTGTGCCACTGTGGAGGTGGGCTTTGAGGTCTCCTATGCTCAAGCCACATCCAGTGAGTAGGTTCACTTCCTGTTGCCTTTGGATCAAGATGTGATGACTCTCAGCTCTAGCACCATGTCTGCCTGCACACTGCCATACTTCCCCCATGAAGATTATGAACTAAACCTCTGAACTGTAAGTGAAATACCCAATTAAATACTTTCCTTTATAAGAGTTGCCGTGGTCATGTGTCTCTTTATGGCAACAGAAACCCTAACTAAGACTAGGAGGGTAGGTAGGATGGTCTTGAAAGAGCTGGAGGGGCAACAGGGGCTGAATGCGACCAAAAGGCTTTGTATGCATGTGTGGAATTCTCAAATAAAAATACATTTAAAAATTCATGCTGTGCCCATTCATGAATGCCTACTCTACCCCATGATACCCCTGACCCCTGCTGGACGTCAAGCTCTTTTCACATCTGCCTTAGTAAGAATTGCTGCCTTTGTGTCTCTGTCCCTCCGAGTGTTCCTCAGGGGAGAGAGCACCTATTCTGCCCCCATTCTCCAAAGTGTCCTAGCTGAAACTAGGGGGACCTACCTCTTCTTCCTCTTGTGACTCATTCAAGGGTCCATTTCGAGTCTCCTGGAAGAGAATCTTCTTCATTTTTCTGTATTGCAGGTTGTCCAACTCTCGGACAGCATCTTTTGTCCTCTGTATGAGGTCAATGAGGACCCGTGGTGGCCGCTCCCTCCGAATGAAGTCGTGCTGATTGACAGGGGAAGAAACATAGATGGTGAGCAAGCTTTATCTTCATGAGCAATGTATCCATATAAGTAGGCAGGGAAGAGGGAACAGGTTCACAGACCTTAGAATTAAATGTGATCTTGAGGCTGGTGTCCCTCATGGGGACTCTCTCTTAAAAAGATAACAATGCTTCTACATTCTGTCCCAGGCTCCCCTTTGCAGACTCGGCTCTAAGGACTCCACAAGAAACTTTTTGTTTGTTAGCTTTTGTTTTGTTAAGCAGGGTAGTGAACAATTTTAATCCCAACACTTGGGAAGCATAAGCAAGGGGTCTCTCGCTGTCTCTGTGAGTTGGAGGCCAATCTGGTTTACATAGTGAGTTCTAGGCCAGCCAGAGCTACACCATGAGACTCTATCTAAGACAGTTTCTCTTTTTAATTATATATATATTTATGGTATACAATGTGATGCTTTGGTGATTACTTTGGTGAAGTAATAGAAGGCAGTTACTACACCATCATTTCCCATTCTCCTGTATGTAGCAAAGGTGCCTAAACCTCGCTGTCTTCAAAATTTGCATGACACCTACGGTTTTTTCAGGTCAGACCTTACGTCTCAATACTGAGGATATTGTATAAGTAAAACACTGGGCCCAAAACCTCAGCTTCCCAATTTTCTTTTACATATTTATTTGTATGTGTACACACGTGTGTCCAGGCCAGAGGACAACCTGCTGGAGCCAGTTCTCTCCTTCTACCATGTGGGCCCTGAGGGTTAAACTCAGATCTTGGTGGCAAGCCCCTACAGCGCCATCAGGCCCAAATCTCATTTCCATCTCTGAAACTATCTTTCTCCTTTTTAATCTGTATCTTTGATTTTAAAAAGCCATGCAAATTCTGCAGGTACACAATGTTGTTTGGTGCCTTTCTCTGTATATCTGGTTTCTCTTACTTGTAGAACGCCGTACAGATTCATCTATGTTGTCATGTATCATAGAATCTCTCTCTCTCTCTCTCTCTCTCTCTCTCTCTCTCTCTCTCTCTCTCTCTCTCTCTCCTCTTCTCCTTTGAGATAGGGTCTCCTGTAGCCCAGGCTGGCCTTGAACTCATTATGTAGCCCTCTGATTTCCTGCCTCCACTCCCAAGTGTTGACCTTACAGTTGTTTAGCACCATGTCTGGCTAGAACTCCTATTCCCAGGCTAAAAAAGCAACTGTATTGTGTGTGTGTGTTCCTCTGTGTGTGTGTGTGTGTATCACAGTTCCCTCATCTTTTATCCCATTGATGGACATGTGGGATTGTTTCCATACCTTGGTTTCTATGGGTAGTGCTATAGTACTTATGGGATGCAGACAGCTTCACAAAATAATGAATTTCATTTCTTATAGATATGAACCTGGAGGAGGGTATGTTGGGTCAAAAACAGTCCTTTTGTTATTGGTGGTTTGTAGTTTTCTTAGGAAACTCCACACTGATTTCCACAATCGTCACATCAATTAACAAAATATTCCCTTTGCTCTTGAATAATACTATCCCCTAAGATTTATTTTATCGTAAACAATGTAATAAAAAATCACTAGAACTTAGGACTGTAGAGATGTCTTAGTGGTTGGGAGCACTGGCTGCTGTTCTAGTGGACCTGAGTTCAGTTCCCAGCATCCGCACGATGGCTCACAACCATCTGTACTCCGGTTCTAGGGGATCTGATGCCCTTTTCTGGTCTTTGTGGTCATGGGGTGCACATAGTGCACATATATACGTGAAGGCGACCACTCATACACCTAAAACAAACAAACAAAATCCGCAAAAAAACCACTAATCTCAAGAACCGTAAGTAACGATAGACAGATCTGTCCCTTCCAAAGCTAAGAGGGGACGAACTATCCCTGCCACATTTCGTTCAGCCTCTGCCTCTCACCAGCCTTGTTTTCTCTTTCTGTCAGACACGCAGTGAGGAATGCTGCATGGACTGGCTTACTGGTCATACAATTAAGACAAAAAACATGGCAGCTCTTCAGTCTATCAGCGGCCAGGGCTCCTGTGGGGCTCTCACCCACTAAAGAACTGGACAGACAAAAGTAAGGGATCAGGGTCTCTGAGAGGCTTTACCCTGCCCCATCCTCTGTCACTATTGGTAGTGAACAGCAGCCGAGCACACACAGGCAGAAGCTTCTGGGGTTTCTTTTTGAGATCAAAAGGCAAGATGTGTAAGGAAAGAAAAGTGTTTTGTCTTTTGCCCGACAATCTCCTTCCTGGTCTGGAATAAAGACCTGAGTCCTGGAATTGTGGCGGTCATTTTGCACCAGAGAAGACAAGGGACACAAGCTGTGGAGAAGGCAGAGAGAGTGTCTGGGGTTGAGAGTGACGATGCTGAGTCACACGTTGGATGTGAGGGGTACCTCTGTCTCAACATCCCAGACCTCAGGCTATGAGATGAGTCAGCCCTCACCTGAGTATGCATCTGAAACACAGAGGCCCTCAATGCCTTAGGTGCATCTCTCTGTCTACTGCGTAAGGACGGTCTCACTGGGCTCCTGCTTTAATTCCAGTCCTGGTCCTTCCTGTGCACAGCGCAATCTAGAGGATGGCTGGTCCTGGTCCTGCTGCTGCCACGCCTGTGTTTTGCTCATATTCTCTGTCTGCGCGCTCACACCCTCATTGCTCTCCCCACCCCTGCAGTCAAAAGGTCCTTTAAGAGAATAATTTTAAAGACAAGGCTGGCTCATGTTTGTAATCCCAGCATTTGGGAGGCAGAGGCAGCAAGGTCTCTGTGAGTTTAAGGCCAATCTAGTCTACACAGTGAGTACCTGGCCAAGGCCAAGCAAAGCTACACATTGAGACCCTGTCTCAAACAACAACAAAATAATAAAATAACCTTATTGTTCTTAAAGATTTAATTTCAAGTTTAAAGATTCAAATAATATAGAAAAATGGCTAAAGGAAAGTAAACAAGAGAATTCCAAATTCCATCATCTAGAAGAAAATATTGTAAAATTTAGGAAGTCAATTTAGGTCTTATCAATTCCTCCCCACCCCAGAACAAAGACTTTTTTTTTTTTAAATTCAAATGGGAACCATATCATAGATTCTAATTTAAGTATAATCTATAAAGCCGAAGATGTACATGAACTGAACAAAATTAGAAGAGAGTGCAATAAAGTAATTGCTTCATTTGAGTTATAATTTTTTTCACTACCAGCACTATCTGTTCCTAAATCTTCCTTTAAAATTAAGGAGATTCATGAATTTGAGAGAAAACCCTGGGAGGGGAAGGGCTGGAAGGAGGGAAGGGAAGAGGGGAAATTATGTAATTATATTTTAATTAAAAAAAAATGAAACAACCTGGGTACAAATGTGATCTTCAATAAACAAACAAATCAGTAAGTAAATGAATATAATTAAATTAAGAAGAGGATTAGCAAGATGGGTCAATGGGTAAAGATGACTGCCACCAGGACTGATGGTGACCTGGGTGTGGCAGCTGGGACTCGCACAGTGGGAGAGCAGAGAGCAGGTGACGTGTGCTGGGGCATGCGTGCTCATGTGCACAATTCTCTCTCAAGGTAAATATGTCTAAACATGTCAGTGTAATGAAACATGTCAAAAAATAAAGAGGAAAATCATACAAGGCTTAAGAGAGTGGGGTTACCTGTATCAAAACACTAAATTTTATCTGAAAAATAGGAACATTAATACACTGATTAATGCTTCCGGGTCCTAGTTTTCTCCACTTCTTTTTATTTTGCCACTATTTATCATATCACATGGTGCTTTTCAAACATTTTGATAATTTTTACCTTAGTTCCATATTTAAATTATTCAATGTAAACGTGACATTTTAATACCAGGAAGGAAATATGAGGAAAAGATGGCTTATCAAAAAATATCTGCATTTTCTAGTGTCTTTCTTAATTTCTTTTTTCAGAGATTTGAGGGTTTTTTTTTCTTTATTTTATATTTTATGTGCTGTGAACCACCATGTGGATGCTGGGGAGCAAACCCAGGTCCTCTAGAAAAAGCAGCCTATGATCTTTTTTGGTTTTTTGTTTTGTTTTGATTTTTTCAAGACAGGGCTTCTCTGTGTATCTCTGACTGTCCTAGAACTTGCTTTGTAGACCAGGCTGGCCTCGAACTCAGAGATCCGCCTGCGCCTGCCTCCTGAGTGCCAGGCTTAAGGCGTGTGCCATCACACCCGGCTCCTGAACCTTGTACTCTCTACTATGTGTTCAGCCACCTCTTTAGTCCTGAGACCCGAAGCTCTTATTGCAGAGGTCTTTCACATCCTTGGTTAGGGTTACTCAGAAACTCTTTTTTTGATGTTATTTTTTGAAGTGTGTCCATGATCTCTTCCTCAGTCTGCTTGTTCTTGGTAGACATAAAGGCCTACTGATTTTTATAGTTGATTCTGGGGTTAACAAAAGTCCCAGTACTAGGCACAAGAAACCTTCTTTATAACTGTCCATCAGGATAGTCTTAGTGACTCCCAAAAGGATATAGATTATATACGTAGCCCTAGGTTGCCTCTCAAGGGTTGAGGGTAGACCTCTATTGCTGAAGACACCGCACACTCAGGACTCCGGAATCATGTCATTTGAGCTGAAACTGACCTCAGTGTCTCTTTCCTGTGACCTAGCTTTTGTGGTTCCAGAAATTACTATGTAAGTGCCAACAGAGGGAAGCAATTCAACAGGCTTAGCCAGCTGCACATATGACCTAGCACATAGGAACCATGACAATCACCAGCGTGGCAGGATATTACACCTTTATGGCCTAAGAAGTGGCACTCTTGCATTGGTGGCAACCAACAGCTGTCCAATTTTCCCTAAGGCCCACTTGGCAGGGGGCAACCATGCCTGGGGCTAGAAACCTAGCCTGGGGGTAATGAAGTCCTAGTGACACTTCGCCAGGCCAGTGTAACTCCTTACTATAGTCTAAATCTTCTTGTACCCACAGATAACCGTGACTGCCATCCCTCATCACAGGAACTACAACTGGACAGAATGCAGCATCCATAGAAACGGGCACCTAAGTCCCAGCTTCTATATCCACATCACAGCTCCTGCATCTACGGCTCAGGGAATACCAGGGAAGGGAGAGGGGAAGACTGGAAGAGGCAGAATACAATACCAGGAAGTCTCTTGTGAGACAGTCTCTCCTAGAAAAGGCTGCATGGACAAGACCAGAACAATGGCAATATGAAGGGACATGCTACCGTGGAAGAGAGAAATTTCTCATGAGGTCGCATCCCTGGACAAAGAACTGTAGGCAACAGCTGACTACAGGGAGAAGGAGAATTAGCCTCTCCCGGGGACGAGTCCATCAGTGGTTGTCTAATGCAGAGTGATCAGCCTGCAAACTATACACCACAAACAAAAATAGACTCAGCAGGTTATATTTTTATATATTTGTGCGTGTGTGCACACACACCTATCTATCTATCTATCTATCTATCTATCTATCTATCTATCTATCTATCATCTATCTATCTATCTATCTATCTATCTATCATCTATCTATCTATCTACAACATATATACGTAATAACAATAATAAAAAGACTGTCAACTTGAGGTTGGGGAACATGAGGGGTTTGAGGGAGGAAGCTTGTGGGAGGACAGGATGTGGTGAACATGATGTAATCACTTTTATTTCAACTAAAGACGTTTTAATTTAAAAAAAGGATGCTAGAGTGAAAGAAAGATGTTTCCAAGACTCATCATGCATGAGTGAAGGAAAAAATCCACACCTAATAAACAAGTGGCCACGATCAGTGAGGACATAGAGCAGGAGACAGAAATGGCGCTGCAGCTTAGGGAAGAGACTGGTCTAAGTGATGAGAAATAAAACTTAAAACTATATCCAGAGGGGCTTGCGTGTGCGTGCATGCGTGTGCATGTGTGTTTGTCTGTGTGTCCAGCTCTGTAGACACAGTGCTGGCCTTATGGGGTGAGGCCCTGGCTTTGACCTTTAGCATTACCCAAGACCTCCAAACCAAATGAAAACAACCCAAAGTTGAAAAAATCCTATAAAAAACCCAGAACAAAAAGACCCAAAACCACTAAAGCTACAACCAGAAACAATTTTTTTTCATCAATCTAAGCAGTGCAATTCAAACGCTCACACTTGGTCAGGGAGGCCATGGACTCCAGGGCAGTCTGGTGGCGTGCATTCCCACCTAAGATCCATGTAAGGGGGTAGAGGCTGGGAGCAGCTGCATAGCTCCCACTTCCAGCATGCATAGCTGCCCACTTTCCCAGCACTCATCAGGCCCTGGGATCAGCCCTCTGCATAGCTGCTTCCTCTTAGGTTAAAGTCTTCCAAGAACAGCAGCATGTTCTAAGCAGAGGTGAAACACTCCACTCTACAGGGAAGCTCCTTAAACTCAGGGAGGAAACAACTCAAAGGCCTCAGGAAGTCCCTGAAGCTGACCAGATTCATTAGCCTTCCCTCCCCAAATATATGTCCACAGTAGGGACTGCTGAGGGTCACTCTCAGACCAGTTGAGGTACCTGGAGAGGACACTCTCCAGTCTGTTGAGTTGCCTGTAGGCTGTACCGCATGCTCCAGGTATCGAGCTTTGGTGACCCGTCACCTGCGCTGGGGTGGGCTTTGGTGTTGCCGCGGTCTCTGAGTCATTTCTGCTGCTGTAAGTACCCAGGGAAAACTCATGGTTCACCAAGTTGGCCTTTGATCTGTCCTCAGATCCTGACTGCAGTGAGTAGCCCACTGTTCACGTTGTCACATAGTGTCACACAAGAGTCATTCTGTGTGTCAGTGTGTGTGTGATATGTGTGTGCACAGGTGGAGGTTAGGGAGGATGTTGGGTGTCTTGCTCTACCACTTCCTGTATTATTCCTTTGAAACAGTGTCTCTTATTAAATATGGAGCTAGGATGGAGGTTGGTCAGAAAGCCTTAGTGTCCCTCCTGTCTCTGCCCACAACAACACCGAGGTTATAGGTGCATGTAGCCCTGCCCTGCTTTTCATGTGGGTGCTGAGAGCAGAACTCGGGACCTCACACTTGTACAGCAAGTGCTCTTACTATAGGGTCATCTCCCCAGTCAAAAATGCATTTATTTTTATTTTGTATGTGTGAATGTTTACAACTTACTTTGTGTGTGGGGTGTTTTGCCTGCACGTATGTATGTCTGTGCACTACATGTGTGTGCAGTGCCTGCAGAGGCCAAAATGGGGTGCTGGATGCCCTGGAACTGGAGTCACAGATGGTTGTGAGCTGCCGGGTGGGTACTGGGAACTGAACCCCATCCTTACAAGAGCAGCCAGCACTCTGACCGCTCAGCTGTCTCTCCAGGCCCTCAGCTGCCACTGTTTTAGGCCTGATACATTTGAGTCATACAACCCTTCTGGGTTTTTTCATAAACAAACCAACAAACAAAACAGCTCATAAAAGAATCCATTCTGAAGGTGAAACACGCAACAGAACTGAATAAGCACGCACACATAAAAGGGTAGAGATCGGGATTATTCTACGCCAAGCAGGAAATGTTCACACTATGACAAAGTCCCATCTACTACACAAATGTTGATGAACCACAGCAACATCACATGAAATCAACAGCAACATGCAAAGATAGGCTCAGGACTATGAGGTTTAAATCAAACCAGTGCATATTCATAAAAAAAAGAAGTCAAAGAAAAGTAAAAGGAAAACATTACAGAATGGAAACTTTTTTGGTGTTTGAGATAGGCTCTCAGGTAGCCAAGGCTGGCCTTGAACTTCTGATGCTCTTGCCTCTACCTCCAGAGCTGGGCTTGGTTACAGTGTATTCCTATAACACCAGTGCCGGAGGTGGAGGCAGGAGGATCAGAAGATCAGACTGCGCATGTGGTGGGTTCACAGGCATGCCACCATGGCCTCTTGGAGCTCAACTGTACGACCTGAGCATCTGTTTTTAGATTGTCAACCTACACCTTCAGTGCCTGGAGCTGACGCTGACCTAACTGAGATTTTCAGAGTTGGCACTGGTGTTTTGGCCAGATTATCCTGAGAGCTCAATTCAAGTTGGGTCAGCAAATCCCTGAGACAGCAAGCAGTGCAGGGAGCAGTGCAGGGAGGAGAACCGTACTAAGACAAAGCAGGAAGGCGGGAGAGCCACCCACCTACGGGGAGGGGGGGGAGGGATAAGGGCTGGGGTGGGGGAAAGGCAGGAAGAACGTGGATCCTGAGAACCGTTCCATTTTTATGCCTGTTTTCATCTTTGAGTTAGTAACCGGGAACTTGCCATAAGCCAGCGTAACACAGTGCTCGGCCATGGAGTAACTGACCGACTGCCCCATGGCCACACTTTGTGGCCCCTGCACAGATGGAAACTAGAAAAATTACCCGTAACAGTTCCACTGCAGCTGGTCTCTCCTGAGGTATTTTTTGCAAGCAGTAATCAACGAATCTCCTGAAGGAGTCGGTCCTGTGTGAGGGGACACAGCAAGGAGAGTAGTGAGGGACCTTTGGACACGCAGCATACGGAAGGCAAAGTGAACGGGAGGGAGCTCTGTGCAACTTGGGAGACTGTGTACGTGCATGCCGTGTGTATGTGTGTGTACGTGTGCGTGCGTGTGTGAGTGTGTGCATTCGTGTCTGTGCATGTGTGTAAAGGCCAGAGGTTGATATCAAGTGTCTCTCACAGCCACCCTTCACCTTATTTTTGAGGCACGGTCTCTCACTGAACCTGGAGCTCACTGATTTTGTTAGACCAGCTGGCCAGTGCGCCCCAGAGATTCCTTTCCCTTCATCTCCCCACCCTGGAATTTTGGGGCCCAGCTTCTGCATTGGTTCTGGAGATAGGATTCACATCTTTTTGTATACACAACAAGACTTTGCTGACTGGGCTATCTCCCCAGCCAGGAGATTCCTTTTCATAAGACATTTTGAAATATCAGGGGACCTGGACCATTTTCAAGTTACGGCAGTGAAAATGAATTCTTCTGGATAATGAGGTGGACACTGTCCCAGCTATTCGACACAGTCATACACATAAGTGAGGATAGGCCAAATCACAAACTAGATCAGAAAACAAAAACACCATACTTGTGTGTGATCAGAGATAACACACCCCTGATGCGCATTCTGCATGGAGTAGCAAAGTGGGAATAAAGAATGCGCAACCTCTAAAGAGTAAACATAAAAGCACATGGGGGCAGAGAACCTAGAAACACACTTTCTGAATAAAACTAAGTCCTCTCTTGGAGGCTTCATTTGTATCCACTCTTGTCAGATGGCTCATTCTCTGTGACTCTTGTGGCCCCAAGAGTTACAAACGTGCCATGGTTTTGGGCTGTGAATGACACGTCTTCTGGACAGAGAGTAACGTGTTCTGTCCCAGCCCGTTCTGATAAGACAGAGACAATGATATCAGCCAGGGCCTCTCAGCTGCTAAGAATTACAGATGAGATAGCAGGACCTAAGGGATGAGTGTGGAAGGAAGGTAGCAGGGCATATGTTCCCAGTGTGTGTGTGTGTGTGTGTACATGTGTGTGTGCATGTGTGTACGCTTGTGTGTGCATGTGGGCACACATACAAAGGTACACTGTTCGTGGGACATCAGTCTTATTATTGCTGTGATGGAAGGAAGGATGCAATGGTGTTTTAGGGCAGACCTGTAACATGTAGTTTAATAAGCATGTCAGACACCCACAGTGATTTCTTGGCGACGTCTTACCATTCTCTGGACTGTAGCGTGGGGGAGTCATTTTGGGCGATGTGGTAGAGGGCGCTCATGGCATTCATGTTGAAGAGGGGGGGCTTCCGCTCGGCTGGAAGAGGAAGGAACCAAGGTAAGATATTCTCGAAAGAAGTAAGGTAGGTAGCAAAATCAGGACTATTAACCAATGAGACACCATCTGCTCTTTGTACTCTTAGGGTCAGCTCAATTGAGCCACTTGCTGGCTGCCAGTCACTCACTGTCCATCGGAAGGCTCCCTGCAGAACCCGTTTCAGAATAATGGGAGAAAATGTCCTTATTTTTTCATGGGTTCTGCATAGATTGGTGTTGGCCTGTTTTCCAATGACAAGGTGTGAATACGTGTGTATATTTTAATTAAAAATACATATTCATTAAATGAAATCAGAAAGCAAAGAAAAGTAACACAAAAATACATTATTATGGAATGGAGGGGCTGGAGAGACGGCTCAGTGGTTAAGAGCACTGGCTGCTCTTCCAGACTACCTGGGTTTGCTTCTCAGCACCTATAAGATGTTTCTTCACAACTATACATTAAGTCTAGCTCCAGGGGATCTGATGCCCTCTTCTGGGCATTGCATGGACATAGCGAAATAAATACGGCACAGGCAAAAATATTTATACATATAAAATAAATCTCTTTTATAAAGAAAAAAAATTATTGTAGAGTGGAACAGACATTTATTTATGTTCTTATTTAGAGCCAGGGTCTTTCCTAGCCCAGAGGCCAGGCTGTTTTAAATAGTGAGTTCAAGCATAGCCAGGGATACATAGTAAAACCTTGTCTCCAAAATAAATAGAAAAGCAGATAATAAAAAAAAAACACTTTTAAAAAAAGAAAAGAAGGTGATGATTTGGAGTGACTTCTTTGTCTTTTAAAAAACATTTATTCCTTCTTGGTCTCCGAATGCACTTTGATTACGGTCCTTTGCTGGATGATAGCTGCAGATGCCTCTGGAGGGTCCTTCAGGGTCCTGCACAGCTTCCTTCCTCCCTTTCCTGCCCCTTCCTTCTCTCCTACCCTTCTCTCTCTCGAGGGTCTCTGGCACAGCCCTAGCTGGTTGGCCTCCCTAGGCACAGAGATCACACGTGTATCACCATGCTGGAGCAGACTGTTTACATGCATCAAGTAGAAACTGGTTGAAACTGGTCGAAACTGGTAGCTGGTGGGTGAACTGGTCTGAGCAGAAGCAGTGTGGATAGAGGTTTTAAGCTCGAAGGACAGACAGAAGTGGTTTGAGCTGTGTTTTAGGAAGTGGACTTAAGGAATTTGTAGAGCACAGTCTTTTGGGGACATCAAGGTTTTAAGACACATGGAACTAGGAACCTGTAGACACAAGCGGCTTCCCATTCCTTCCTACACTTAAGTTCGGATCACTGAGCAGAGCCTACGGACCTCCACTAGCCTGCCTTCCGAGAATATCATGGGCTTGTTCCCCTCTGAAGCCATCTCTGGCTTCACTGAAGCAATCAAGCACATGGACGTTCTTAGTCTAGATTTTAACCTTATCAAGTTAATTCTTCCCGCCCCCCCTTTGTGTTTTTTTTTTTTTTTTTTTTTTTTTTTTTTTTTTTTTTTTTTTTTTTTTTTTTTTTTTTTTTTTTTTTTTTTTTTTTTTTTGATAGGGTTTCTCTGTGTAAGCTTTCAGCTGTCCTGGAACTCACTCTATAGACCAGGCTGGCCTCGAACTCAGAGACCTGCCTCTGACTCCCTAGTACTGGGATTAAAGTTGTGTGCCACCACTGCCCTGTGTTTTAGTTTAAAAAAAAAACAATTTAAGAGATGAAGTCTTGCTATGTTGCTCAAGTTGGTCTGAAACTCCAGGGCTCAATGGTTCTCTTGTCTGTCTCCTGTGCAGCTGAGAACATGCGTGTCCCTGCCTCAGCTCTGGCTAATTCTTATCAATCCTGCTGTGGCCTGAATATAAAATGCCTCCACGGGCTCATGGATGAGTGAAAAAAAAAAAAAAAGAAAGAAAGAAATAAATCAACAAGAAAGCAAATGTCATGGTTGCTCCTAGGTATGGGGGAGGAGAAAGTTTATTGTGGTTAAAAGGGAAAACACAGTCAGAGACAGGGACATCTGGGAGAGTCCAGAGAGGACATGTCTGGGCTGAGCTAGGCTGTGTGGGGAGAGTGGGGCACCAGGTGCAGCAGCCAGGAGGCCAAAAGTACTAAGAACAAGTAACCAAAATGTCTGAATTCTATAGGGAAGAGCCTCTGGAGGAAGGGCAGCCCAGCCGTTAGGCTCAAGAGTTCAGAGTAGAGGATGGGTATACCAGTCACACCCTGCAACAGGCAGGGACTGAGGGATGCTGGGAGAACCTGGAGGCCAGGTCCACTGATGTGTTAGTGGCATGCTTGAAGACAGGGTCCCTCAGTCAGTGGTGCTGTTCTTGAGGGCTGTGGAACCTCCTGGAGGTGGTCCTCGCTGGGGGGAGGGAGTCACTGAGAGAAGGTTTTGGGATTTTTATAGCTCCGCCCCACTTCCTGTCAATCAGCTCTTGCTTCCTGACAGTGGAAACACTGCAAGGAGCTGATTTAAGTGCCCTTGGCCACCCCCACCTCCCCAATGGAATATGTCCCCTCAATCTGTGAGTGCTAACTCTTCCCTAGGTTGTTTCCTATCAGCAATTTGGTCACAGCAGTGAGAAGAGGAACTAATGAGACCTCATCTTGTTTCTGCAGGAATCTAAAGCATATTTATCAAGGGCTATGTGAATGGCCACGTCCTCGGTGAAGCCTTCTGTGACTTTTGTCACCGCAGACTATATATTTGCTGCTTTTTTGGCCACACATTACAACTCTCACTATTTTGTGTCCCTCACAGCAGGGGCAGTGGCGATGTTCATAATAGTCATTTTGTTCTTTACTCTTTCCAGGGTTGAGGACTCACTGTGGGATGTAGTCCCCACAAAACCTGCTAAATAAATTAATAAGGGGCAACCTAATGCAAAGAATCTTTGTGTGAGCTGTTGAGACGGTTCAGCATCTGCGCTGATTGCTGCTAAACCTGAAGACCTGGGTTCAGTCCCTGGGTCCAGATGGTGGAAGAAGAGAAATGACTCTGGCAGCTTCCTTCTAACCTCCACTGTGTGCCGTGGCCCTTAAAGCATATTCTCCACCCCCCACAAATAGATAATTCTTTATTTATCTATATTAAAATTGTTACAAATGTGAAAAACGAATCTCTGTGTGGCAAACAGGCATAGAAAAATAATGAAGAGAGACCAAAGTCTCGTGGGGCTGAAGTCAGATACCATGTGACAGGCTCACCATAAGAGAAGGAGGTAACTCTCCTTCCCAGCAAAATGCAAAACAACCAGGTTGCTCAGAGGAGCTTGAATAGGAGAAGCAGTGGAAAGGGGGCTGGACAAAGAAAACAGATGTTAAGAAAGGATGTTGGAAGTGGGGTTGTAGATCAATTGACAGAGGGCTTGGCTACCACATGTGAAGCATTGGATTCAATCCCCACACTGCACAAACCAGGTGTGGTCATCATGTTTGTCATCCTAACACTTGAGAGGTGGACACAGGAGGGATCAGAGGTTCGTGGTTATCCTATGTTACATGGTGATTTCCAGTCCAGCCTGGGCTATATGAGACCCTGTCTCAGAAGAGAAAACAGAAACCAAAACTCAGCATTAGTGTAGACAGCAGCAGCTCAGACTTGAAGCCTAAATGGGGGCCCAGGAGGAGCAAGCAATGTGCCTGGGGACAAGCCATGACAGCCAACCCTCAACCGGTGGGGAAATGGCTGTAGTAGAGAAGCCAGAGCCTAGGGCCATCCTCAAACACTGGATTTGAAGGGTCTGGTCCATGTATGAATTCTTTACTGGATGAAATTACTATGCCCAAGCCTGGTGCTGAAGGCTGTAATGTCAGCATGAAACAGGCTAAAGCAAGATCTCAGGTTTTAGAACAGTCTGGGCTGCACAGAGCGAGCAAGCAAGCAAGCAAGCAAGCAAGCAAGCAAGCAAGCAAACCAGCTTCATAGCCACAGTGACAGGGCTTGTCACTGAGACAGAACACCACAGAGCCAAGGCCAGAGTCAGCCAGCAGCCCACTCTGTATAATGAGGTGTTTTCCACGGGTGTTTCCCGTTCCAGTGGGGAAGGTACAAGCAGCGCAGACATACCCAGCAGGGCCTGCAGAGTCTAGAACATTTATCATCTGGTCCTTTCCAGGGAGTTCATCACTGCACGGTGGGGCACAGCGGGTGGCATGCATCTGTATACAGCACACAGGAAGGACTGGTGGTACCTGTGATATGGATCTGTGAGCCCATATTTTTTTTCTTTTGCACGTGTGGGTCTCTGTGTATGTATGGTGTCCACATGTGTGCAGAAGTACTTGCATGTGTGTCTGCATGTGTATGGCATGCATGTGTTTTCGTCTATAGTGTGTGTGTGAGTAGATGTGTGTATGCGTATGTGTGTGGAGGCCTTGATCGCACTCTACAGGGTCTCTCATTCGTACCCAGAGCTTGCTGCTTCAGTTAGTCTAAGCGGCCACCTTGCTCCAGAGGTATCCGCTGCCTCCTCCGGAGTTCTGGGATGACAAGTGGGTAGCCACATTCACATCGATTCTGGGGATCTGAACCTGGTTTCTCTGCAGGGTAGGAATCACTGTATCTACCAGACTGACTCCCCAGCCCAGAATTATATATATCCTCTGTGTGTGTTTGTGTGTGTGTGTGTGTGTGTGTGTGTGTGTGTATTTCCTGTTTAACTGAAAGGAATGGTCCCATGTTTGTGGATGCGCCCCCTGTGCCAACCAAGGTCAGGGTTTAGGGAGGTAGGTCAATGTAGTGAGTCACTGCGTGAACAGCTCTGCCCAGATGTGCCAAATTTGAGCCTGTTTGAGAAAGAGAGGTGACCCAAAGGCACCCCACTCTTGGATAAGTGCTTCTTGAAAAATCAAAGTTTTCTTATGAACAAACATGGCTGGCAGCCCCAGCTGAAAGGGAACACTAGCTGCTGTGAGCTGCTTAGTTCCTGTCCTATGTCTGGCACTCACTCTGCCTCAGGTGTGGCACGGATGCCATTCATCATGCCCGCCGGAGCCTGGCAGCTAAGTCTACTCTCCAGTTTCCTAAGGGAAGAAACTGAGGTACAGCTAGACTCAGTGCTGAAGTGGGTGACAGAGTGGCGGTCACTCCTGATCCCGTGAGTCTCCCAACTGCTGGGACATGAGCACACCACCTTGCCTGATGTGTGAGTGAGTGTCTGGGTGTACACATAAATGCCAAGAGAGTGCAGGTGCCTGCTGAGGCCAGAAGAGGGCATGGGATTCCCTGGGTCCCAAAGTGGGTGTTGGGAACAGAATTTGGGTCCTCTGGAAGAGAGCAAGTGGCCTTAACCCCTCCCTGAGCCATCTCTCCAACCCTATGACTTAATTTTTTTGATTTATAAACTACATGAATATATGACCTCGTTGAAAATAAATAAGTAGCTACTCTAGTCTTCCCTCTCGAGTCATTTCCTTCTTGCTAGTCTCTCTTGGATGGAAAGTGACAGACAGATCATGCACCTAATCTTTTCCTTTGGAGGAGGCGGAGGTTGTGCTGGAACAGCTGAGTGTCCCAGGTCTCCTCCACAGGACATCTCAGGAATGCTGACAGGGTCAATGTGGAGACCAGGAAAGAAGAATTTAAATTAAAAGAGACATAAATCTTAAAAACTAGATGAAGAATTTTCAAAATTTTAGTTTTAAGTTTCTAGATAAGACAGATTAAACCTGGGCCATCTTCCTGTGATGTAGGAAGCCTAATGGGCCCCCCTTATCCTCAGGCCCGTGTCTAGCGAACAGCAATGGTAGCTTACACTAGGGAAATATGCAAAGGCTACCCTGCCTGGGTCCTTCCCTCCAGCAACAGGCTGGTTTGTTAAGTCTATTGGCATACTGTGGTGTGCAACGTCACACAGAGTAGGGGGTGTTTCTCAAACATTAGCACTTACTGGCTTGATTTTCATGGAGACACAGCGGAGAAGGAGCAATCTTTTGTGGTCTATAAGAGCATGGGAAATATCTACAACAAATTCACATTGCCTGGCCTTTGTACAGCTGTCAATCACTGAGGGAGTTCTAGACAAGTTACCTGATGAGCGTAAAGAGGACCGATTTGCAAAGATCCAATGAAAACTACTTTCCACTCACCCAGTTCTATACAGGTGATGCCGAGCGACCAGATGTCAACTTTCCCATCGTACTGTCCTTCATCCATGGCCAAGATCACCTCTGGGGCCATCCTGCCAAACACAATGTTCAGAACTCAAGTTGTCAGAAGAAACAAAGTTTCCATTTTAAAACTACTAGGTACAGCCGGGCAGTGGTGGCGCATGCCTTTAATCCCAGCACTCGGGAGCCAGAGGCAGGCGGATCTCTGTGAGTTTGAGACCAGCCTGGTCTACAAGAGCTAGTTCCAGGACAGGCTCCAAAACCACAGAGAAACCCTGTCTCGAAAAACAAAAACAAACAAACAAAAACTACTAGGTACAGTAGATTGAAGGGTATTCAAAAATATTTTTAAGGGTATTTAAAAGTTTTTTTCCCCCTTGGGAACCAAACCTTGGTCCTCTGTAAGAATAAGTGCTTTTGGCAGCTGACCCATTTCTTCAGTCCCTGTTTCAAGGTTCAGTATTTGTTGTGGTGTTATTTGTAGGAGTCAAAGAATGAAACCAGCCTAGACAATCAGCAGATGCATAAGTAAGGAAAACGTGGTTCAGGTACACAATGGAGGCATCTGGGATGTGCTGGTTTGAATGAGAATGGTCCCTGTAGGCTCCTATACTTGAATACATGGTCCCTAGCAGGTGAAACTATTTGGGAAGGATTAGAAGGTGTGGTCTTGTTAGAGGAGGAGTGTCAATTCGCCCTTCCTAGTCAGTCAGTCTCTCTCTCTCTCTCTCTCTCTCTCTCTCTCTCTCTCTCTCTCTCTCTCTCTCTTGCCTTGTGGTTATGCCTTAAGATGTAAGCTCTCAAATGTTCCTGCTGCCATGAATTGCCTGCCTCCTGCCATATTCCTTGCCCTGACAGTCACAGGCTCTAACCCTCTGAAATTAAAGCCCCAAATCAAACACATTTTTAATAAGTCACCTTGGTCATGGTGTTTTATCACAGCAATAGAAAAGCAATTAAGATGTGGGACAGAACTGGGGGTCATCATGTTAAGGGAGATGAGCCAGACCTAGAGAGACAAATACAGGAGAGACGGAGGGACAGGAAGAAAGCAGGAAGGGAGGAGGGGACCAGTGGGCTGGCAGGATGGAGGACACAGAGATGAACAAAGTACAAAACACGACAAGGGGTGTGAGAGAGTATGACAACTTATTATCTTGCTTTCTCTCTCTCTCTTCCTTCTTTCCTTCCCTTTATAGACCAGGCTGCCCTTCAACTCACAGAGAATCCACCTGCCTCTGCCTCCCGAGTGCTGGGATTAAAGGTATGCACCACCGCTTCCCAGTTTAACCTATTATTTAGTATAGCAGCTATAAAATTAATTTAAGAAGTTGAAGATTTTTTTTCCTGACAAATTTTCCTTACACAAACCACTCAGAAGAACACAGTTAAAAACACAGACATCACTGGTGACTTCTAGGGACTGCTGCGTGATTTTCAACACAGCGTGGCTCTGCCTTTTGCTCTCAGTTTGCTCTTGAGTCTATTATTAACTATGACCTATCTGCTTCTTCAACTAAGAAATGGAGAGACCTGTCACAGGGACCTCACGGAGATCTGTAATGGGTTAGTCTGGTGCACACCCCTCTAATCCCAGCACTCAGAGGCAGAGACAGGCAGATCTCTGTGAGTTCAAGGCCAGCCTGGTCTACAGAGCAAGTTCCAGGACAGGCTCCAAAGCTGCAGAGAAACCCTGACTCAAAAAACAAAAACAAAACCAAAAAAAAAGGGTTAGTCTGGCTGGGCGGTGGTTTGCCTTTAATCCCAGCACGGGGGAGGCAGAGGCAGGTGGATCTCTGTGAGTTCGAGGCCAGCCTGGTCTACAAGAGCTAGTTCCAGGACAGGAACCAAAAAGCTACGGAGAAACCCTGTCTCGAAAAATTAAAAAAAAAAAAAAAAAGGGTTAGTCTGTTGTGACCACAGACAAATGAACCACTCTAAGAGACATGAAAAATATCTGGGGGGACGGCATAAGGGAGCATGGCCCCCTGCTCCAACGACACTGTAACTGACAGAACAAAACAGGTCCTGTATGGCGCCCATGAGCCCTAGAGGGGTGGGGTCCCTCTGCCTTCTGTTTGTCTTGGATGGTGCTATGGCCTATTCCATGTCAGCAGTGGCTTTGTAAACACTATCTTGCGACAGGGGGCAGTCAGGGGGCAGTCAGGGGGCAGTCAGACAGCAGCTACTCTTAGCGGGTTTTCCTGAGCGTGTCTTTTTCAAAGCTACAATAACATGGCGGTGCATCTGTGAACGTTTGGAAAGGTGATCTGGAACGGAAGGTGAGGACAGCTCCGAGTCAGAATGACGTCAAAGTGGGTGAAGTGTCAGAGCTCAGCAGAGTCAGGAGCTTGGATTTCTTCCATCCTGGCTTGGTAGGCAGCCAGCAAGCTGTAAAGAAGATCCCTTGTCCTGAACACACTGCCTCAAGGGAGCAGTTCAAAAGAGATCTCAAGTGAAACCTTAGACGGAGCTAGCCCAGCAAATCGATAACACACAAAGGAGACCCAGCTGCCTCATTTGAGCAATTTAAGGTCACTCTCTGTGGCGGTTTCTAACTTTCTCAAATGAAATCTGGCTGGGCACATTAGGAACAGTTTTTTCCACCCCTTCTTTCCTTCCTTCCTTCCTTCCTTCCTTCCTTCCTTCCTTCCTTCCTTCCTTCCTCCCTCCCTCCCTCCCTCCCTCCCTCCCTTCTAAATATAGTCTCTCTCTTTATAACCCTGGCTTTCCTGGAACTCACTGTGTAGACCAGACTGGTTAAACTCCTAGAGACCCACCTACCTTTGCCTCCTGAGTGCAGGGATTAAAGGTGTGCACCACTATTCCTTGCTGGTAACACACCCTTTTGACAAAACAAGGCTAGGCCTGGTAGTGCAGGATTGTGTGCTTAGCTCCAAGGCAGCCTGAGGCAGGAGGATTGCATATTCAAGATCAGCTTGGGATCCTAACAAATTAGTGAGACTGTTTCCAGACAAAGGAGATGGGAAGCAGCTCAAGGGCTGAACATTTGCCCAGCATCCTCCAGGACCTGGGTTCAATCCCTACCACTGCAGAACCCACACCGGGGATGCCAAGTGTCCCTCCTACTCACGCTTGTGCATTTTCAGCCTACATCATATCTTCTATGTCTACGTACCAGTATGGCGTCCCCACGAAGGAATTGGCAGGAGAACTCATGGAGGCAGATCCAAAGTCAGCCAGTTTCACCTGCCCTGGTTCTGTGAGGAGGATATTTCCAGCCTTAACGTCCCTACAGGAGAAAAAGAGGAGCATTTCGAAGAGTTAACTTCTCCATTCTTACTATGCAGGAGGCTAGAGCATGCAATTAGCACGATACGAAGTTTCTTAAACAAACACACAAGCATACTTTTCTTGGCTGTCACTGCATGTTGTAAGGGAGCCCGCATTCCTGGGTGGTCACTGGAAGGGCTTCCAGGAAGCGCTGTCTTCAGAGGGAGGGGTAGAGCGAGGGGAAAAGGGAGCCATGCCAGGCAAGGAGAGCTCCCAGATGGCGACCCTTACAAAGCGTGTTCTTCCGCGTTTTAGCCAACCACCACCGCCATTCCTCGTGCTGGGCAAACTGGCGCCGTTTGTAACTGCCTGTTTCCCTTCCAGATCTGCCTGCCATGCCTGCATCGCCGCCCTGCGCAGGGCTCCTCGGCTGGACACATACCTGTTCTGTCTTGCCCGTGACCCTTTCTCTCTGTCTGTAAGTGGAACTGCCACTCTAAGGCATGGGAGGTACAGGTTATAGAAAAGGTGTTATTTAAGAAATAACACTGTACAGTAAAAAGAAGACCCTGAAAGATGAGAACAGACAAGGGTTAGGGGTTAGGAACCTGCATTTCGTTATTGCAATGGCGGGTTGTGGCTGGTTTGCACTAAGGATGCGTGGTGTTTGAGGCGTGGTGAAACGTTAGGGGGGAAGACACCACTGGAGATTAGAGTGAGAGGGTGAGGCGGATCCCTTCTTTCTCCTAAGGTATGAATGACGTGCAGTGAGGACTGGGAACCACCAACAGCAAGCTGAAAATGGGCCGTGGAAAGAAACCATTGGGAAAACGGAGAGAAAGTGACAGGCTTAGATGCTTCCAAGGTTTCCCTGCTCGAGATGACACAGGTCAGAACTAAAAACAAACATGCTGCTTATTCTCTCACAACAAAAGGGCGTGGGGAGGAAAGTCCCTCTCAGCAATAAAAAGATGAGATGATTGGTGTTTGTGTTTTATTTGAGGACTGGATCCCACGTAGCCCAGGCTGCTCTTGAACTCTTGAACCAAGCCAAGGTTGGCCTTGAATGTCTACTCCTCTGCCTCTACTTCACAAGTGCTGAGATTATATGCATATACCACTGTACTCTTTTAAGAAAGGTTTTCTCTACTTCCTGGAGTTCACTCTATAGACCAGGCTGGCCTTGAACTCACAGGAATCCTCCTGCCTCTGCCTCCTGAGTGCTGGGATTAAAAGTGTATGTCACCATGTTTGCCTTTCATTTTGAAATTTAGAGGCCATTACGTTTTTTTTTTTTGTCGGCTCAGCTTCTTTCATAAGTACCATGCTGATTAAGGTAAGAAGGACACACATAAAACTAAACTGTGGTTTCAGATAAAATACAGCAAACTTCCAAGCAAGTCAACATTTAGTAATCATACCTTGACTCCAAGGAAACATACCTAAAAAATTTGCTAAATCATTGATTACACGGTAAATGGGTTTAGTCATTATTTACCAGGTGTAATTGGTTCATTTTTTGTCTGTTTTATTTATTTTTTGTGGTGCTGGAGATGGACGTGGTAGCCTCGTGTGTGCTATGCAAATGTTCTAGTACCAATCCACACATACCCCAGTGTAACCTTTCTAAAAAATTTATTTATTTATTTGTGTATGAGCATTTTGCCTACATGTTGTGTACCATGTGCATGCATTGCCCATAGAGTCCAGAAGAGTGCGTTAGTTACAGGCAGTTGTGAGCTACCATGTGTGTGCTGAGAACCTTCCTGACACAGTCTTCAGAAACAGGAAGCCTCGGAATGGGAGAAGAGAAGGCAGTGGTTCAGTTGGGCTGCTATTCTGTGAGGGAAGCCAGCCGGCTTCGGTTCCTGACCCAGAGGGAAAAAATGGATGGACCTTTCTTCAGATTTCTCTGACATCAGGAGCCAGCTACCTACACGTGAAGCCAGGCACGGCAGTGCACACCACAAATGTCAGCCCTTTGGAAGCTGAGGCTGGAAAATGGAGTTCAAGATCTACCTGGGCTACACTGTGATTTGGGGTTAGCCTGGGCTACATTGTAAGACTCTGTTTCAGGAAAAAAAAAACACCTAAACTAAAAATAACAACCACCACCCACAAACAAATAAACAGCCCCCCCCAAACATCAGAGGGATGCTGTCTTTGCTGAGCTGTGGGAGGGACCTGGGGGATATCTGTTTGCTTCCTGTAATTCCTCAGACGCAGAAAACTGGAACACATGCTGATTCCCATGGTCCCTGGACTATGGAGCTGGGCAAGGGAGATGGAAAGGAAGCTGGGGTCTGGACTTACCTATGGATCAGGGAGTGAAAGTGGAGGTAGGCCAGCCCCTGCAAGGCACCATGGGTGATAGCAGCAATCTCCACTTCCTGAAGTGGTTTCTTATGAACTGAGGAGAAAGGAGAGATGATCAGGATGGAGGACCAGCCTTCTACATCACACAGTTAATACACTTGATCAAAGGACGACTTGAGAGCATATTCACCTAACCACGTGAAAGCTGTACCCTCCACATTGCAGCAGACGAGGAAAACCAAGTGCAGAGAAACGAGACTAACACGACAAAACCCATAGGCCTTTGGCATTAATTTACTGGTCAACGGCGAGACAAAGCTATACAGATTCCAAGTCAGTTGGGCCTGGCTTTATCAGTCCCCTCAACAGTGATCTGGGCCATGATGTTCTCTACTGCAAAGCTTTCATAATTACCCCTGACCTACAGGTAAAGAGGCTATGAAGCAGCTTCTACTGAGGGACCGTGGGTGGCTTCAGGCATTTTTAAATGGAATTTTAAACATAGCTGGGGGTCGTAGTAGCACTGGTAAGGGGGTTGGGGTCCATCATGACACCTTACATGGGTAGATATCAACATGAGTTGACAAGACACCCTCCCCCCCACACACAGAGTCTTATACACATGGTCCATTGCAACACTGGCAAAGAGTAGGTAGCAACATTTATACATGTCTTTGATGGTTTTTGGCTACGGGTACCATACCATATTAACCAAAAATTTCAGCAATGCCTACCCTGCATAGCCATGGCCTCAACAGTAGTATAGCTGATGTCATCCAGACATGTCAACTACATGGCAGAGATTATGTCTACACAGGTTACCCATGTGGCCCTTAACCACCTTTCAACCAGAGGCCCAAACTGCACTTTGTCTATTTTTCTAGAAGTAGATAATCTCCTTTTAAAAATAAGATTTTATTTCAGTGTGTGTGTGTGTGTGTGTGTGTGTGTGTGTGCGCACACACACACACACAAATGAGTGTGGGTGCCTGTGGAGGCCAGAAGAGGGTGTCAGGTCCCCAGGCTGGAGTTTTAGGCAGTTGTGAGCCACTTGGGAGCCAAACTCAGGTCCTCCCCAACAGCAGAGTGTTCTTACCGCTGAGCTGCCCCTTTAGCCCCACAGAGAACATGATGGAGGACAAACAGGAGAAGCACAGTGATGTTATCCTTACCTTCTAACAGGTCAGAGGCTGAACCTAAGCAGTACTCCATCACCAACTGAAACAGATTAAAAGATAATAAGAAAAGTTAATAAGAAGTCCCTCAAGTTAGCCAATCAGCCAACCAACCAACTAGCCAGTCAACTAAACAATCAACAAATCAACCACAAACCAACCAACAGTCACTCAACTAACCACAAAACCAATCAATTGTACAACTAAGTACCCAAACAACCAAGCAAATAACCAATCAACCAAGCACACAACCAACAATCAACCAACCAATGAACTAACCATACAACTACCCAACTAACCACACAACTAGCCAAGTACCCAAACAAGCAATTGAATAACTAATCAACCAAGTACACAACCAACCAACCAACCATAGCACTAAGAACATCAGGAAGAAAACCATTTGGTCTGAACTAAATATGCCTTATCTGGTCACTCGATAATGAATTAATTTTCATAATTTTTGACGTTTCAGTTCTTGTCAACTTTCACTTGGACTTGGCCTCAGACCATATGAGGGTTGATATGGAAATATTCGTTGTAGATAGTCAAACTGAGGTTGCCAATTCCGACCTAATACCCTACAGTCTTGTTTCATAATAGGTTTTGAGTGGCTAGATGCTATTGATTATTATTTATTACAAGATAAAATTTGTAACTTAGAAAGTGTTGAGGAATACACAAGCCAGAAAAATCTGTTTGGGCTCAGGACTACGCACTCATATAGGATACAATCTTCAGTACCAGTTAAACAGAAAACTCCCAGTTAGCAGTCCTCCTTGTCCACACTCTAAAGCTTGAAACAAGAAACATGTCTTTGTAGGGCTCAGTTAAAGAGGTGGCCTGCCATGTGCTGTTAACCTGAATCAGTCCAATGCCACTACTTTGAACAGTGCCATCCGGAGATTTTAATTTGTATCTTAAAAATATTTATTCATTATTTAACCCCAGAACCCACATGAAAATATTCAGGCATAGCAATGTTCTTTTGCAATCCGGCCAGATTAGACTACCAGAAGTCTAGGCTAACGAGAGACCCTGTCTCAAAAAACAAGGCGGTGAACACCCAAGGAATGCCATCTGAGGACGTTCCCCACATGTATGCATATCCCCAACAGTAGGAGTTTATTTGATCATGTTGCTGAACATTCTCAGTGAGGCAGTTTTAGAGGCTTTCTCAAAGCAAAAATGAGGAGACACTTCCGAGGCTGCCATCCCAGATCCTGTGTCCCAGACCGCTGGTTTATGGCCAGAGCCAAAGCTACGAGTGTTTTCTCCCACACGTGTGACCACACGCTGTTAGTTATTCTAAAAGGAAGCATGAATCCCAATGGCTATGTGTGACCACCCAGACATAACCAGTGTTACCGCAGTGGTTCCTTTCATTATGAACATTCATATACTATATACCTCACAATACTCAAATAATATAGACTTTTACAGGTTGAGACACTTTATAATATCCTTCTTGGCACAAAAAGACAAATTCAAGCAGGGTGTGGTAGCTCACACTTCTAATTCTGGCACACAGGGGGCTGAGGCAGTAAGGTTGTGACAAGTTGGTCTGTGCCACATAAAACAAAACAAAACAAACAAAAAACCAACCCAAACTGAAAACCCAAATGAAGAAGAACAGAAAAACAGTACAGATATATATTTATAAGTCGTTTACTGTGTGGCTGGCAAGATGGCTCAGTGGGTAAAGAGTTTGTTGCCACACCTGGAACACTGAGTTGATCTTCAGAACCCACAAGGCAGAAGGAGAGAACCGACTCACGAAAGTTGTCCTCTGACCTCCACGTGTTCAGCATGTGAGTGTGCACATACAACAATAAACAGACTTTAAACATTTAACAACTATATTTTCTTTCTTACTGAGACATGAAAGATCCCACTGAAGTAAATATTTTCATGAATGTTAATTTTATATGTACCCTACTTCTTTTTAAGGTAATTTGGATGGCAAACTTACTAAACTGTATCACTTGCTTTTCTAGTTTTTGAGTAAGCAGCTAAATATGCAGACTAAACTTCCTTACACTGAAAATGTGAGTGGTGAGGACAGCTGGTCCTCTGCCCTGTAAGCCCAAGAAATCCAGCTACAGGACATGGGCTATAGCTCAGTGGCAGAGTGCTTGCCCTGCACATCCGACACCCTGGGTTCAGTTCCCAGCTCTTTCACAAAGGAAAAAGATACCACAAAGGAAAGAACAAAGAGAAGGAATTTAACCTCAGCAAATAACTGATCATCACAGAGCAGCCACACAGTAAGAGACCCCACATCTGTAACATCTGTGATACAGTGTAGCTTAGACACACAGTGCAGTGACCACACATCTGTGATGCAGTGTAGCTTAGCCACACAGTAAAAGACCCCACATCTGTAACATCTGTGATACAGTGTAGCGTAGCCACACAGTGCAGTGACCCCATATCTGTGATACAGTGTCAGCACAGAGACCCCACATCAGCAGACACCTGTCGGCTTTACTTCACTTCCTACTGTTGTTAATCTATGTCTAATTTAGAAATTTCTATCAAGATAGTGTGGTGGCGTATGTCTTTAACTCCTTCACTCTGGAGGCAGAGGCAAGAAGTTCTGATTTAGAGGCCTTCCTGTTCTACACAGTGAGTCCTGGACCATTCAGGATTATTCCTTTTGGGCCTATGCCTCAAAAAAATTTTTTTTGTACCTTATCATAGGCATGTATAACAAAGAAAAAAATCATAACATGTACAGAGCTCAGTACTAGCTATGGCTTTAAAGACCGACTGGGGTCTGGAAACATGACCCACAGGTGACAGGGGACATTTATGCTCTGTGGAGAACTGGTGGCCCCTGTGGTCATGAGGCCCAGCCCAGTATTATCAGGGAGGACCGTGGGGGTGCATGGCAGCCCAAGACAGGATTAAAATCCAAACTCAGATTGCACTTTCCACTTTGTGCATTTGATGTGGATTCCCCTCTGTATGCTGTGAATGTTTTATTACCACTGGTTAATAAAGAAGCTGCTTCGGCCTATAGCAAGGCAGAATAGAGCCAGGCTGGAAGAGATAAGGAGAGAGTAGACAGAGTCAGAGAGACACCATGTAGCTGCCAAAGGAGAAAGACACCCCCCTGCCAGAACTTAACCAGTAAGCCATAACCTCGTGGTGATATACAGATGAATAGAAATGGTTAATTTAAGACATAAGAGTTAGCTAGGAATAAGCCCGAGCCATTGACCAAATAGTGTTGTAATTAATATAGTTTCTGTGTCATTATTTGGGTCTGGGCAGCTGGAAACGAACAAGCAGTCTCTGCCTACGTGTATGGTTGTGTACTATTAGGCAGAATCACTATGTTGAGTCACTGTGTTCCCATATATCTTTAAAACTGGACAGGAAGGGCCAGGCAGTGCAGTGGTAGTGCATGCCTTTAATCCTAGCACTCAGGAGGCAGAGACAGGTGGATCTCTGAGTTTGAGGCCAGCCTGGTCTATAGAAAGAGTTCCAGGACAGGCTCTAAACCCTATCATGAAAAACCAAAACAACTAACCAAACAACAACAACAAAACCCCAGGACAGGAAGGAGGTGTGCTGTGCCTGTTAAAAGGTCCTGAGCATTGCTGTCACAGCGCTCTGCTCAGTCCTTCACAGCCTCGCTGCTGTCTCCTGCTCTACTTCCTCCACATGGCCACGCCACTGCTGGTGCTGTTTGTCTGCCCGCCTCTAGCAGCTCAGTGCCAACGAGAGTGTCTTCTAACCAGTAGTCAAACTAGTTGTAGATGGAAACCAAGAGGGAGCTGGTTAGAACTCTGCGTAACTGAAGAATAAGCAGGCCAGGAGGAAGAGTTCCTGAGGCTTTGCCCAGACTTCTGGTTCCTTGAACTTGCAGCATTGGGTGAGATCTCTCTAGACTCCTCTAAGGCCGCTGAGCTTACCCAGGGTAACTGATTTCCAGATAAGATGCTCCTTTGATTAACATCTGTTCAGACAGGAAGCAGTGGTCTAGATGGCTGAAGGGCTCTTAAGGACTGGAGAAATAGTTCAGAGGGTAAAGCTTGCCTTGCATGAATGAGGAGAAGAGCTCAGTCTCCATGTAAAAGTGGGGTATAGGGGTGTGTGCCTGCAATCCCAGTGCTGGCAGGTGGATACAGGGGGTCCCTGGGGGCTCCTTAGCTAGCCAGTCCAGTCAAATGGGCCAATCCTAGGTTCAGCGAGAAACACTGTCTGCAGGTGGAAAGTGACAGAGGAAGACACTTGACTTTCAACTTGTAGCATTCACTGCTCACATAGAGAAATGCTTGTATGCATACATACACAGAAAATGTACAGGCACACATGCCACACACACACACAGAAATGCATGTGCACACACCAAATTAACTTCTTAAACAGAAGTGCTTACACACAATGTTTAGGAACAAAACGTCCATTTCCTGTAAGCAAGAGACCTTGCCTTGTCACAAGCAACCTTTCATAGACAGCTAAATTGGACTTAAAGCAAAAATGCTCAATGTGGTTAACTGTAAAGCTTAACACCTTCATATTCTAATAGTGTGTGACATGCCAGACTTAGACAGTGACACTCCCATAAAAAATAAAAGCAAACGAACAAAACAAAAACAAACTGCGTGGAAGAAAAGCGTGCCCCATTCCAGAGTCACAGGGGTGGTATCACTCTGTAAGAGCTGCACAGGGACAGTGTCTAGCAAAGTGCCAGGCTTTCAGTCAAATGGAATGGGGCAGAAGGTGGAAGTGGAAAAATAAAAACTCTAGAATGAGGACTGGAGAGATGGCTCAGCAGTTAAGAGCACTGGCTGCTCTTGCAGAGGACCTGGGTTCAATTCCCAGCAAACACATGGTTGCTCACAACTGTCTGTAAGTCCAGTTCTAGGGCATCTGGTGCCCTCTTCAGACCTCTGTGGGCACTGCACACACGTGGTGCACTCACACATATGTGGGCAAAACATTCATACATACAAAATAAAAATAAATACATCTTAAAAGAAAATTCTAGGATGAAGGCCGGCTAGACGGCTCAGCGCGCAAGGGAACTTGCTGCTGTTGACTTGAGTCCAGTCCCTGGACCACATTTTGTACTTTCCACAAGCGTGTGCGCATGGCAAAAATGCACACACAAAATACATGGGATAAAAATCTTTAGAAATTCTAGGAGACTAAAAGGATTTAACTTTAGGTTTCACAAGATGACAGTAACTTTTACCATCCCTTGGCTGACTGTTCTCAGAATGATGCTTCCAGTACGGTAGACAGGCATATTTAGTTTTATGGAAAGCACACCATATGACAAACTGGCCAGCAGTGACAAGTGTTATTATCAATGACAAAAGTCTAATGGGACAGAAACAGGACTTAAAATTTTATAGTTCAAATAAATAATTTTAAAAATTAATAGAAAAAAAGAGACCAGAGATGCTCTTACTTACCCAAGCAGTATGTTCCTTTAAATAGCAACCTTTGTACTCGATGGTGTTCGGATGCTTCAACTTCTGTAAAAATTTAACTTCCTTAAGAATATCTTGCCATTTCTATGGAAATCAGAAAAACTGTTTTATTAATCAGGCTGAAAACAGCATCTATCAAGTGTGTATATACATATATAAATACATTTTATAGTTTTCTTCTTCTGTGTTAGATGGCTATAAGTGAACCAGCTAGTTACCTTGTGCCATATTGTCTTAATACAACGTAAGGTCCAAATCTCTCATCAAATATATTGAAATTAAAGCACTACTCACATCCATGTTCTATCCTGGAAGGCTGTTGCTTAGATCCAATATCAAGAAGCATTGCTAGAGGCCCCCACAAGAGACCACATATGGCCAGTGGTTTCCTGTGCATCCAAAGGCAGCTCACTTACTGAGTAACCTAGAAAAGCCTAACTCCCCTTTCCATCTTTCTGGGTGTTTTCTTTTTGAGACAGAGCTTCTCTGTGTAACAGTCCTGTTTGTCCTGGCCTCAAACTCACAGAGATCCACCTGCCTCTGCCTCCCAAGTGCTGGATTAAAGGTGTGTGCCACTACTGCCTGGCCTGCATCTTTCCCTAACTCTTTGGGCCTTCTTGCTGTTTCTCTAGAGCAGTGGTTCTCAACCTTCCTGATCCTACGACCCTTTAATACAGATCCTCATGTTGGGGTGACCCCCAACCATGAAATTGTTTTTGTTACTACTTCATAACTGTAATTTCTCTATTGTTAGCGAAATTACATTACTGAGTCGTAATGTAAATATCTGATATGCATGATATCTGATATGTGACCCCTGTGAAAAGCCATTTGACCCCAATGGGTCAACTCACAGGTTGAGAAGCATTGCTCTGGGGCTTCCCTCCCCGTCTGTCATGCGCCATGGCGGCTTAAATGGCACGGTTTCCCCTTGTCTCCCTGATCGCATGGGCAGCTACTGAGGTTTGCAGTTTGCCTTCCTGGGAAGGGTTTTCTTTAAAACTCTTATGAAACTGTCCTTGATTTGAAAAGGGAACACAAAAGAACAACATTGTGATAAATACTTAAATATCTTTCATGGATTTCGTTATGGAAAGCTTTTTCTGTGTTTAATGGACACACACTAATCCTATGTGTTATGGGGTACTCTACATATCTCCAGCCCATTGGTCATCTCAGACAATGACCGTGTCTCTGTGGTGAAAACAGTGGGCTCAGCCCTTCTAGTGACTTTTGAAATACACATGACAACCCCGGGGACGAGCTGCCCTCCCCTATGTGGACGCCAGAGCTCAGAACTTGGTTACCTCACCCACACGTCACACATCTGTTTAGGCACGAGACTGTCTTACCTCATGGGTCTGCTTCCCACTGTAGGACATTTTCTTAACGGCAACCACCTCGTTGGTGTGAGCATTTGTTGCCTGTTACGAGAGAGAGGAAGAAAAATAGAAAGAGTTAAGCTATTCAGGCACCTTCAGCAGTGGGCTAGAGCCTAGCAACATTTGCTCCCACACCTCGGCAACGTCGTTCTTGAGGACGCTCCCACTGACCTCATGGGAACGGTTTCTCAAATGCTTGCTGTACTAACATGTGAGAGTTATTACAGGACGTCAAGAAAATACACGGTCAAATGAAAGAAAAGCAAAGTTACAAAGGTTGGGATTCACCTTCTTAGATGCCCAACAATGGAGTACCAGCTAAACACACAAGATCAACAATGAAGAGAAAGAACCAGACAATCAGGATGGAGAGAGAGCTCAGAGTTAAGAGCTCTGGCTGCTCTTATGGAGACCTGGGGTTGGTTCCCAGCACCACATGGAGGCTCAAAGCGTCCATTACTCCAGTTCCAGGGGATCAGGCTCCCTCTTCTGGCTTCTGTGGGCACTGCACACACATGACACATACATGCAGATGAGTAAAAATAAATCTTTTAAAAAAGAACCAGACAACCCCCCCCACACACACACATGTCTATTGCTGTACTATTCAGCAGGTAGCCAAGACACTTTCCCAATGCTAAAGTACAGGGAAAATGAATGCATATTAAAGAATTTTATATACTCACTAAGGTAACAGGATCTATTATAAAAGGTACCTACTAGTTAAATGCTTCCAGTTCTGAAGGTCTCCAGACAGGCATGGATAAGGTAATTAT